CACCCACACAGGAACATTGCTTACTGGATATCAGTAGAGTTTGTATTAAGCCTCCTTCTGTCAGAGTCCTCGCAAATGTTAACCATCCCGTTCGTCGCGTAAATCCCAGTTGACCAGATCATGAAGGACGAAAGGCCAAATTCAAATGCTCCATCCTTGTACCTCACCTCCCCGCGTGAACCTGCGATCTTGTAATACTTACCTTGACATCCTGTATCTTCGTACAAGACCAAACGACCGCCTGCGGGTAACTTCCTGAATTGGAGGGAGTGGGCACGGTCGTTGAAGCAAGGAACGGAGTAGCATCGCTGCGTCTCGGAAAAAGACCAATCCACGTAGTGGCCGTTTAAGTTTGGCCCGTCGAATAAGTATATGTGAGCAGCATTAGTAGACATGATGGCGATCGTTGTAGCGACTAAGGCTACTCGTAACGCTTGAAACTTGCCCATTGAAATGTTCGTTTGAATCCAGTTACGCCAATCGGGTAATGACAGCATTTTCGAATCTAAAATTCATCGATACATCGATGAATTCGTACGACACCGCTGCTGATGCAAGTACAATGAATAAATCCAGCATTATCAATCTTTCCCTCAAATCGCGGATGGTACACGTACCGAATAGAGGACTAAAACGCAAGGGGATATAACATCACTATGGACGCCCAAACGCCTCTTAGACTCCACGGCACGCTCAGGGTTGATCGATGACGAACAGTGAAAGTTCTATCAGATAATTACCCTCTGCCTTATCGATGATTGTCAATAAAATAATTATTTAAAAATTTCTGTGAATACCTAGCAAGCTAGTATAATTCTTGCTTGAAGCAAGAATTTCACCAATTATAAGCTGTATCAAAGTATGGATAGATTTAGATGAGAAAAGAAAGCAAAGTCGTGCTCTGCGCGAAGAAGCTCTGAAATTACCAAAACAATAATAATTAAGTTTCGAAGACTTGGGATCCCTTTTGTAGTAGGCTCCGAACTCTACGAGGGAAGCTGGCGCTTCTTGGCAAACCAAATCTCTGTTGTTGGTCAAATTCCAAAATGGTCTGTGCTTCTGTCTGCGGAGTAGTTTCATAACTACTCGGTCTTCTAGATTCTAACTATTCCATATTCTAGATTCTAATAACGAGTTGCCAGCTTGGCGGCGAGGCCAGTTCTGTCGCCCGATGAATGGGCTAGGCATGATCTATAATGCCCCCACTACATCGCCCAATTGGGATTCTTGAGCTTTGTCGAAATTCGAAATTAATCCCGAATACCCGAAAATAGCACCGAAAATATGGCCGAAAACAATACCGAAAATATACGTATAGATATGATGGGACCAATTACTCCCGATTTCGCCACGATGACTTTGAGCGGCTGGCCTGTCACCACGTATGTGTCGTTGAGCTAGTTAACGGGGTGATGCGCTGCTCAAAGAGAGGGTCATCGCTTGCAGCCGTGAACCGCTTCAATAACGCTGGAATGTCTTTGCCAGGGACTTCGCAGGTTCCAGTGAGTCCTCGATTGGCTCCAGCTCGCTAAGATGTCGTAGTTCCCTTTCTCTGTGCTCCACGCACAGCCAACTAGCTTGTCGACCGACGAAATCTGGCACTGGCCATCTACATGCTCCCTAATCTCTTCGGAGAGCTTCAATGAGCTGTCTGCGTAGAACTTAAGTCTGTAGGGGTGGATGTCCGCTTCCTCCCTGTCACCAGGTGTCGTACAGTGGTGCACCTCGTTTTCGACAGGGTGGACCATATAGAGTCTGCCAACGGCGAAAATTTATGCAGGAACGCAGATGGGCCAGGTGTACTGTTTTTTATTACGTTAATTCAGTATAAATCGCAGATCCATCTTTGACACGATTCTGCTGTGACTCCAGCAGTTTCTAATTGTATTCGTCGAAACACCAGACCAGCCTTCTGAGCACCACTTCATGGCTGTATAAATATCGACTGGTTTATAGTTTTCGCCCCGATAGAACGTGTCCAGCTCCGCTTCTTGCTTTGTTGTCCGGTAATGATCCTTGAGGCTCTTGATGATCCCTTGATCCATCGGTTGCAAGGCAGCAGTTGTATTTGGTGGAAGCTTGTGGATGACCACGTTAGAAAGCTCAACAGGTTCGTCATTATGAGAGGACACATTGTCTACAAGTAGCAAGATATGCCTTTGTTGCTCACGCATGCTCTCATTGAGCTGCTCCAGCCACTCACAATATTTAGTGGTATTCATCCAGGCTTTTGTAGTGTTTGTGTAGGTAGAACCTATTTCAGCAAATACATCTCGACCCTTGAGCGGCCGTGGTACCTGGGACTTCCCAATGAAATGCAGAGGAAGCCGGTGAGTGCCATCAGCATTAGTGGCGACGCACACAGTGATTCTTTCCTTTCTCTGCTTCTTGCCCTTCTCCGCTTTATCCACAGTCAAAGTTCCTTTGGGTTCTCTACGGTAGAAAAATGATGTTTCATCCATATTGTAGACGTCTCGCGGATGATACTTGGTTACGACCGCTTGCACCTCTTTCAACCCTTCGTCTACCACTTGCATATCCAGCGAGCCACCCTCACCATGCCGTAGCGAAAACCATAATCCAGTTCGCTGTTGGAAGCGGTACAGCCACCCACGGCTAGGTTTCATGCCGCTGGGCAGCTGCACCCCTTCACGCAAGGCTATGCTGATCACGGTAGCACCCGTGATCGCGGCATTTCCATGCCATGCCTTGTAGGCTTCGATTTTCTGAATGAGCAGCTCATCGACACTGTGCTGTGAGGAGGAGCAGAGCCGCTTGCGGAGAGAGTGCGTGTCTGGAATGAATGTATAGTCGCGCTTGCGCTTGAGAATGCCATGGAGAGTGGTGCGCTTGACGGGGACTTGAAACTTTTGCGTTGCCCATTTGCGAGCTCAGTTACTGTCCACCATGGCTCAGCAGCAGCTTTGCAGCATATCGTCTGCTTGTCAGCGAGACTTAGCGTAGAATAGGCGGAGCGGCGACGTGCCATGGTATGATGCAGCAAAAAATAAAGTGAGCCTCAGTATTTACTCGTCTGTTCAGTAGAGTGAGGTCGCTGCGGCGCGACGTGTCATCCCTCCTCGAGGAGGGGAAAACCATTGAGGTTAATTCGGCCAACGGTGATGGGCAAACGATTTGCGCAATGCACTGAGCGTAATCATCAAATTATGAAGGTTATAGAGGCATACCGGTGTCGAAAACGAGGTGCACTACTGTACTGCGAACGAGTGTGCATCAAATCGCCATTGGCTGCAGAAATAGTCAGTTCCACGCTCACTGAGTGCCGCCAGCCTTGCAGATCCATACACCTTAATTGTTGGCCGCCCCAGAACGCACAACTCGAGTGGTGTCGCTCCTGCTATCGAGCTCACGACGGCCTGACGTCTTGCCCCCGTGCCGTTCGCTGTACGAGGAGCTGAAGCGTCGTTGTTCTTTTCTATCGCGGCGCTATTGGCCGCTTTTCGGATCGGCACTTGGTCATCGAACGGCCTTTTGGTTTGCGACTCCCTGCGGCGCGTCGGACCGCTGTTGGTGCCATGGAGTGGAAGGAGCTTGCTTCTTTCTGGAATGAGGGCTACGTTGTAGGGAGGTCAAGGCTCCTGATATAATTGATGAAGCGTTGCATAAAGTGAGAGGTCTTGCGTTTGCTCCTTTTTTGGGTGGTGCATTTGATGAAAGTGGTGTTGGAGCTCCGAAGCGGCTACAAACTCCTATAGGAACCCTAGGTTCTGCAATGAGAAAGGTTCACAGGGCAGTTAAGGTCACTGTAACGGATACTTACGATCAGTGGAAAATGAAAGAAACTTCTTGGACTGCTTTGAAGTCCCTTCCTGATGGAGATAAACAGTGCCCTCACAAGGACTTCCCTGTCTTCGAAACTACAAAGGCTTTATTGACGAAAAGGCGTATCCAAGCTTCAGCTATTGTAGCCCGTATGCCTCGCACCCGATTTATTGTTTCCCCAGAAATTTTGAAAGCGTTGTTGACAGAGATGATGCTAAGGAATTGACACTGGACAAGGGGGATATATTAAATTTCCGTGGAGACGTCGTCCAGGCTGGTGCGGCTTTTGATGAAGAAAATGTTAGACTTCATTGTTACGTCTGGAACCTGTCTAGACTACTTGATCAGTTGATGAAACAGCTGGGATATCGTGGTTTGTTCTCTTCAGGACCTTGAGAAACGGTGCTTGGGCCTTGTAAATTGGCGAGCTACGCATCAAGTGACCTTCCGGATTGTAAACATGGTTAGGAAGGTAGTGGCTACAAAAGTCTACGTCAAAAAAACATGAACTCGTACTATCAGCATATGCAGCGTGAAATGCTGAAAAGGCCCAAGGAGTGGCCGAAGAAGAGGGGAAATACAAGGGGCCGAGAGCAGCGCTGCCATTGATGAGCAAGAAGCGGAGAGCAGCAGTGAAGAAGCGTGGAGCAGCGACGAAGGCGAGGAGCGAGAGGAAGAGAGCAGCCATACGAAGGCGGCAGTAGCGCCAAAGCCCTACGGAATGTTCGTTGAACGACTTTACAGTATAACGTATAGCATTTTTACGATTTGTGCCGTAATATACTAGACAAATGATCTATATTGCCACTGGATAAATGATCCGTATTGTCACTGGACAAATGGTCCGTATTGTCACTGGATAAGTAAGTGATCTATACTGTCACTGGACAAATGATCGATTTGATTGCATGATAAATGATGCGTATCTTCACTAGCCAAGTGCCCGATGCTGAAATCGCTTCAGAGATTACACCTATCAGTTGAAATTGATCCACACTGTCACTAGTCAAGAAACATGAACTTATACTGTTTTGATCTAGCGTGACATCTAGAAAGCGTAATTTTGGAGCACGAAGGCAGGCAGACACGTGAAAGCCTGCATCATTACACCAGCGAAAGCGCTGGTCCATTCAGAATCGGACGCCCTCGAGAGGATTGCTGCGCTACGATGGTATCATGGATGTCTTCAGCAAGGCCTCTTTTTCGATTTCTTTGGCTTCGGTTAACAAAAGCAAAGTACAAGTGGACACACTCGCCATGTTTGAAGAAGTACTTGCATGGGCACGTACGATCGCGGACATTCACAGCCCAGCCAGCCTCTGGTTGGCCATCTCGTTCCACCCTGGCATTGTTAAGGCCCATCTGCGCACATACCTCAATAACTTCCATAGTTTGCTTCTGCGGCCGCACGTAAATGCGAGGTGTTGGGTGTACACACACAAGCACGTAGTCTGACTCGTCTGATTCTTCATACGACCCGGGTAGCGTGGCCATCTTCTCGATAAGTTTCATTCTCCGCATCTCGGTTGCCCGCCACCGCAGTTTGGCTGTGGATTTTGCTAGCTCAGCAAATTTGACGCCGAAGAAGTTCTCGGGCGTGCAGCAACGGGCAAACTACGAAAGAATTAAGCCCATATTCATGCGCATTCTGAGCGTGTACACCTTCTTACGAGTATCCTTGAACGTCTCGACAGGGTTGTTTGTTGTAGCAATCGCCGATGGTGTTCGATAGCACTTCCACTTCGTAAAAGTGCCTATCAACCACTGACGGTAAAAGTAGCGACCATCAGGGTCTGCCACTCCAACGTCGCACAGCCATAGTCTTTAGAGCGCGAAACAGCGATTCGGATACTGCATAGTGCATGTTATATACATCAGCGGCAACCAAGGCTAATTTTGCCGGTGTCATCGTTTTGCCGTGCTCGTACAGCTTCGTGATCATGTGACAAAAGCGCATCAAATACTCCACATTGCCATCACCAAAGCTGTCCACGACAGCGTTGAACTGGGCCTCATTGGCGTCTCCCATGACGTAGCGCAATACGAGAGACTTTTCAACAACCTAGTGAAGGAACACCCGTATGATTCCGATTACATTGTAGTATTGGTACGAAAAGGTCCAGTCATGGGTATCCACTGCATATTCGAGACACATGACCCGCAATGCTTGGATGATGTTATGATTATCAAGTTTGATGCTGTCATTATCCGAGGGCTACATGCCACTGTGCATGACGGTGGTGCCTTCAAACGTTTATATACTTCTGCAACCACCTCATTCTTGAAATGAGACTCTTGGTCACTTATCCATACTGGCGGGATGCCATACCGACTATGCCACGCGAGGATAGCCTCAATAGCTACTGAGCTTGTTGAGTTTAAGCAAGGCGTCAACTCGCAAAAATGAGTTGTTTCGTCTTTGAGTACCAGTAGATAATTGTCCCCCGCATAAATGTTTCCCAGAAATAAGAAATTCCAGTGAAGAGCGCCGTTCCATTCATTAGTCTGTATGTCTCCCTCAAGGCCGTTGCACGATCTTATTTCATTCTACATGATGGCAGAGTAGATACGCTGATAGGAAGGCCTCGACCGGCGCTCTGAGACGGACCAGATGAACGAACCTCGTAATCATCTCCATCGTGGATTCTCTCCCTCGATGTCCATTTGACCCACAATGGGCGACAACTAGTATTCGCTGAATCAGACTTTCGTCTCTATCGGATATTTATAATATTCCGTTAACGAACCACCCCTTCTTATTATCGCCAGTTGATTCAACAGGTCGCTCATCCTATATTTACACTGCGACTTGAGTATACATTGTAGTGTAGGCCACTCAAAATCATTTCTGAATGGGCTGCTACGGTTTTGCTGTGGTGGATCGCTGGTAGCGACCTGACTTGATGTCGGCAGTTGTGGGGATCCACCAGTGGCTGTACGGCTTGGAACCGCTCGCTTCCGCTTCCACCGGACCCGCTTCCGCGCAGGAACCGACGTGTTCCGTGTCCGTTTTCAAAGTGCCACTTGCCTTAGCTGTGTAGTTTGTGTTTGGCTCCCAAACCAACGAGACACCATGCCACTCCAGACGATTGCGGTCCCATCGATGTGCTTAATACGTTACTTGTACTCCATTAGTTTAGTCGCCCACCGGAGCGACATGCCGCGGATATATTTCTTCACCTCTGTTCCGAGTACAAAGACATATATCCAGCTCCTATCGTCGCAATATAGCTGGAATCCTGTTGGCCTTAGCAGCAAGTGGCTGAGTTTATCACAGGCGCACACAATCGGGTATGCTTTCTTTTCTATTATGCTTCAATGACACTGCGATCCAGTGGATGTTCCACTTAAACAAACAAGTAGTTCATGTTGGTAATCGTTTACAAGCGTACTCGCTTGCCAATTATCAACCTGAGTGTTCACGAGGCTCCACCCAACATCGGACACATCGGTCATCACGCACATAATAACACTCTCTTTTGGGAAAGCAAGCATCATACTGTTAGATAACAGCTCCTTCACTGCTTGGTACGCTGCTCGTCATTCATCATTCAGAGTGATTGCAATCCCCGCTGCACCCCACTTGGTGCGCTTAGCTGCGTTTCTAGGGATTCGTCCAGTGTATGTTGCAAAGGTTTAGCCGTCCTAGCGTAATCCACCAAACTACCACGTAACCAGTTCGTCGCGCACAAAGGCTTTTGGGGTTCCCCAGCGTTGGTCAGGTGCGGAAACTCTTGCAGCGCACGAACTCTGTTCGGGTCGTGGCCACTCCTTCTCCATTATTATTTTCCCAAACCACCGTACTTCACATTTGAATAGTCTTGATTTCGTGACACTGAACTTAAATCCAAAGGAGCCTACAACCCGGACAATCTCTCTAACTTGGTCAAGTATGTCTTAACATCACCCGCAAACAGGAGTATATCATCTATCCATACGAGTAAATGGCGACGCAGCATCCTCCAAGCACGTCGTTGACTGGAAAAACAGTGCAGCATCCGTACAAGTTTGAGGAACTCGTCTCGGTGTGTATACTTAACGGTGTGTCATATACGAGAGCATTTCTTGACTCTCTTCTGCTAGTGCAAGCGGCCAACAGCCCTTAATGGAGTCGAAAAGACCAAAAATAAAACGCCCTTGACATCTTCCAATTCACCACTGAGATCAGGCATTACCCTGACGATGGCCTCAATCAAAGCATAAGCAGGTTTGTAGTCTGCTTTTTGCCGGTATTCACCATTTTCTTTACGTACAGGTAGTGCTGGGCACGCCTAGCGACTCTCTCTATTTTCGTACTCCCACCCCAACTCGACCAGTTTGTCGTTAAAATCATCCAGAAAATGACTCACCTCCGCTGGGTACTTACGAGCCTTGCACCGATACGGCTTGGCTCCAGGCTTAACCCGAACTTTCATTGGTGGTACTTTTGCAGGTGGGTCTGCGGTCCTAACCGTAATCTCCAAATGTCAAACCGCAGTACAATGAGTATCAGCCCTTTTTTTGTATTTGCGAGGAAACCCATTCGTTATCGCCTTTTCCACTAACTCAAGAACGGCTGTTCGAATCTCTTTTTCCTGTAGAGACTGATCCCTCACAATAGGCTCGTCTTCATCGTCAAACTCATCTTCGTTCGGTTCATCGCAACGTACGACTAGAGTGCAACATCTCGTAAAATCGCCAGAAAAAGGGCTGTTCGTTATATTCAGATAGGAGCAACACCCCTCCTTGTATCACATGGTGTTTTAATTAACGGAAAAATGATTCAACTATATTTATCGCATACAAGTGGCGCATCGCTGGTCAAAACAACAGGAACACGAAAGCGAGCCACCGCTATCGCATGAACCAGTAGGGATCAAACCTGCCTTGATGATGTCTTGTGCTGGAATTGCGTCGCAGGCTTCAGCAACTATCTGCGACGGCAAGGCTATCTTCTCCTGCGGATTAGAGGAAAAGGGTAATCTACGTGATATTTGAAAAAAAAATGACAGCTGTGAGACAATGTCTAAATATGTAACTAGCCGAGTACGTACTTGTCGTACAATACGTATTTGTCGTAGCTCTTGAAAGCTTCCATTACAGAAACGCCTATGGGTTAGCATACTCCTGTGACACCGGGGAGGGAGGGGGGGGGCAAAATTGACTTGCGTACAGCACTCTTTCTGCAACGCGTCGGACCGATGCCATCTCGTGGATCTTTAAGCTGTCAAAAAATCAACATCCTGCATCCGGCAACCTCTGGTTTCCACAGCTTTAGTGAAACAGAGTATATAGGTCAATGCTAGTATTTGTCTAAACACAAACCCCTCTTAATCCAGCCAAGCAGCAACGTAAACAATTTTTTTTAGAAACTAGCCCCGAGCACACACTTTGAAATAGAAGCCACTTACCTCTGCACAAGTTCGGGGTGCACGTTTACGTGCGCAGGTGGGCCGGTGAAGAATTGGTTAGGACGCGACGCGGCGATTACGTCTGCGTCTTTCCTTCAGCGCTGGAGCGTGCACCGGTAAACCCCAGCAGCAGTTTAGCTCCCACCACCGTAGAGCCTGCCGACTCGAGTAACTTGAGTGCCTACATGACCAGGTAAGTCAGCTAGAATTGTATGCAAGAGCAGAAAATTCAAACTCACATGTGGCTTTTTCTTGTTGGTGGGTGTTGTTTGGGCTCCTGGTCATATTGTGCGTAAAACTAGAATGGCGGAAATCATTTACATGCGAGTATTTGATTTAGTGGGAAATAGAAGGAGTTGATTTTACAGGTAAAAACTAAGCAATATTTAAATAGACATCGACGTTTTAAACATGTTGCGTTGAACCCGTGGTTTTACGGTACCCTATCCTGAAGGACGCTGACAAAGCCACATAGCGTGCAGCTCATGTCTAAAAAAAATGGAAGTTCTTCCAGCTTAGTGAGAAATCGTCACTCGTTAGTTTCAACTGCACCTCAGCCAATCCTATTTACCAATAATGTATTTCTAAATGGAGTGGAGTAACCGACGTAGCATCCATAAATCGGAAATAAGACTGTATAGTTAGGATTTAGAGAAATGTGGATGTAGTGTAATGCATTGGACACTAGTGAATCCGCCCATTTCCCAGCACACCATGGACAAACACCCAAAGCATGGGCTCGCAGCGCGTAGGCAGGTTTTGCGTGCGTACACAGAGGGACGAGACTGGGAGCTGTCGCAACCACATCCTGTCTACCACAGCGCGCAATATCGTTAAGCGCGGCTCCGCTGACGTCAAGACGAGAGGAGGCGCGCGTGCTGCGAGCACCAAGTTTACTCTCGAGATGGAAGAATCCCTCGTCGAGTACCAGGAGGACAACTGCCAGTACAGACTCGAACATGTGAGTGACATGCTTTCGTTCGACTTTGGCGTTACCGTCAGCACGTCGCGCATTGCAAGAAGTTCTGTGACAAGCTGTTTACAGTGATACATGTATTAAAATACAATAGTGTACTCAGTTTTAATTGTGTTGAAATGTATTTTTAATGTCTGGATAGGTTCGTGTTGACCTGGAACCTGCAATAACAAACATTGAGAAAAGAAGAATTTTCGGTGAAGCGTTGCTGAAACATGCGTATCGGGTCGTTTATTGTATAGTATGATTAGACCAATTACAATTTATGTTTTAAGAGGACTCAAGGACGTGCTCCTGTTGGAGAATGCGCTGTGGTTACGCTCCCTCCTTCTAATGGAGAAAACCAACAGGTACAATGTGCCGTTTAACATGAAGTTGCTTAGTTCACAAAATCAAAATTAATGCTGCCTTTGTCGATGCGATCTACGATGCCATGAAAACCCATCCCGTCTACCAAGAGCATTTTGAAGTTATGATGATTGTCGCTGTTTTGGACAACGCCGCCGTCCACAACGAGACAGAGGACCTTGCCCAAGATAGAAGTGACCTGGAACTGCTGAGGTTGGGGCCTTATTCGCCCATGTGCAACCCTATTAAGGGTAGGTTGCACTTTTACAATGAACGGATGTCATTTATCTAATTCTAATCATGCTTCTGTTTGTTGTTATAGGCTGTTTTAGCGTTTCAAAAGCTCGTATAAAGCGATGTCTGTCGCTGAGCCACGGGATAATGTTCGACGCGCCGTACGGTGAGAAGACGGAGCTGCGGATGCAGCTTCTTAAAAGGACAGCAGAACGCTGCATCTCCTGCATTGACCTCCGTCTTGTGAATTAGATGGCGCGCCCCTGTGCACTCTCAGTTCTCTGGATATTTATATCCAGAGTCTTAGGTGGGTTCGAGACCCCTCGAAGATCCTATATAAACAAATATTTTTCTGCTTGTGTAATCACTCAAATTTTACTTTCTTACAGAGGGTAAGATTAACCGACGGGATATTTGATGATATCTGATATTCTATGCGAAATTGGGTCAATGTTGACCCAACCGGTGAAGAACGACATTCGTGCGACCTGTCACTAAAGCGACAATCATTTAACATTGAAGCAACATCTACTGATTACTTATGATGTGCTGCAGAATAGAATCTGGATTCAAGTTAACTTCTTTGGAGCCCTAGCCTTCTCCCGTGCTCCCCAACAAAGTGACCTTCATCCCACGCATGGGCCATGGCAGCTACTCCATTTCAGAACTCATTGGCGGAACACGTACAACACCTCTACTGCCCATTCCTTCGCCACTTTTGCTTTAACCTTAACTAGCCCGCGGTAGTCTTTGCGCACCATTCAAGTGATAAAATGAAAATGTTTCTTCCTTTTCCTTTAGTTAACTAGTTACATGTATGAGAACGCAATGAATGTTTAGTATTGTAGTATAAACATACTAAAATACTAACAATTCCAAGTTGGAATTTCCATTTTTTGATTGATTTTTTTAGATGATTACAGAAATGTACTCTACGGGTAATAATGTTATTGATGTTTATACGGTAGATATTATTTACTTGTATTTGTAGCGTTTCGATGCGTAAATATCCAGAGCTTCCCGGGCAACGCACGGCATTAGTTGCCGCTGCTATTCGAAGCGAGCTAATGTGCTATGGGACCTAGGTGTGATTTGCTGTGGACTAAATCCATTTTGGTCTGCACTGTCTTTTTTAAATACATTTATGATTTTTTTCTTACGGGACATTTCGTTTTGGTTTACGCTAGGATTGTCATAGATTCGTAGGCTGACTATGGGAGTTTGTATGCGATTGTTGGAAATTGAGCGACAGGTTTTGTTTTAACAACTATTCTGTATGGCCGTGATGCTAGAACTCATTAGCAGGATGTGATGACGAGGACTGCGAGGAAGGATGTTCGGGACACTTGTGTTGCGCCAACAACTAGCCAGCATATCGACGCAGCCTCCGCGCTATTTCAAAGTGGATTGCTGAGTTCAAAACGCAGGAATTGTCTGCTTTCTTTATTGCTATTGATGGTTACCGGTTCCTGACGGTATATTCCGGTTCCCGAACCTGTCCCACGCGATCCCGCGATGATTACGATACGTTGATTATGCCACGAGTGATTAGACGAGTAGGATGATTGTACGAGGGGAGGTGTTGGTGATTGGATGACCCCAATGATTGGATGCAGACTAGGTAGCGAGGGTAGTGTAAGCTCCGAAAAATCAATCACTTCAGAATCTTGCTTCTTCCCCTCAAGTGGTCTTCGCTCCGGTCTTCTTCCACGAGTGGTGACTCCTCCCTTCGCTTCCTACAAGCCCCTACGTCTTCCAAGATCCGTGACCTCTATCAATTGCTAATGGAGGGATTGATTTGAAGCACTTTACTTTGGATGAGTTCGAGTCATTTCTTCATGTAAAACAAAAAATGATAGGCGTGAGTACTCTTAACGTCTACCGTAACGCACTGAAAGATTTATATCGTCGTCAGGAGATTCCACTCCCAGAGACATTTGACTTGAACATGGGTACATTTTTTTCGGGGCTGAAGCGCATGCAAGTCGCTAAGTATCAGTATGGTGCCCCAAGAGAATCCGGAAAGGACACATCTCGTACTCACTATACGAGCAGCCTTGTTGTGCTACGCTTTCTCGTCAAGATGTCGGTTTTGCTCATTTGTTCTTGACGACACAGTGGAACCTAATGTGTCGATCGGAATCGGTACAGACACTGTGTACGGAACACCTTAGTGCATGAGGCGACAGTGTGGGCTGTGTGATGTACAAACCTAAGACAAACCAAGAAGGCAAGGAACTCAAAGACCCTCGCCACTTGTACACAAACCATATAGTCCTTCTACGTGTTCGCTAAATGCGTCAGCGATCTACTTGGCGTGCCGTCCGACGTAATCCCCAGGCGCACTATTCCACGGATCTCAACAGAAATTTTGATTAATACGCTGCGGTAATTAATATTTGAAAAGACAAACCAGAGTTATTATGGCACGCATTTTGACCGGAAGTGAGTGGCTACTTTTGTCTGCAGCGATACGACGGCGGGCCTTCTATAGCAAGCGTGTGCTTGAGAGTTGGGTGGTCTTTAAGGGGGGGATCAACATCGTTATATTCGCTATGAGTCAGCTGGTGGCCAATATTTGGGGCGCGTAGTGACCGGACTACCATTAAACCGGGCTGATTTCGCAGTGCTTCCCACTCATGTGTGGATAATCAGGACGGCAAGCTGCTCGCTTGTGTTGAGGAGACGTTCCCTTTGCTGAAAAATGCAGCACCCTGCAAGATATTCTAAAACTGTGCATCACCTCTCTTGTTTACCATAACAAGTTCTTAAGAGATGTGATGCCTGCATCACATCCGCTGTTGTCGACGTTCATGCTCCGGCACCCAGACATGCTAAACCACCTTGAAACAGTTCTCGTGCGTGATAGTTCAATTTGGATGAAGTCCACCGGCGCTCTCCTCACATTGAGCTCTACAACATCAACAGCACATGCAAGCATCTATTGATAACTTGCCCCCCGGTACTTCTGGAGAGAACGTCGACCTAATAGAGGAGGAATGCATCACTGCTAGAAATATCACGAAGCAGATGGTGGAGACCGCAATTGAGCCATTACTAGTGCGTGCAGGGCTGGCACAAGGAACAGCAGCTCTATCATCCTGCACAGATGCATCACCTGACGAAAGTTAAGTTGTTCTACTGCGACGGGAAATTTCATTTACAACCAGAAACATTTGAGTTTCCTCGCACAGGACCTTTTGAAGCCTGGCAGTTATGGTGATTTGGTGACAATGATAGAGGATGGCCTCCTCTAAAAAAATATTTATTCTCACGACTTTGGGGGGCTGCGCTTGATTTATGTCGCTCAAATACTGATTGACCTGTTGGTACTTAACTTGTATGAAAAGATGTTATCCCCAACAAAATTCCTCCTAAAAAGAAGGAGGAAAAAACCTCGGGCATCCTCAGTTCGGATAGGTTTTTCTCCTTACGCCTCAACGATAAGGAGAAAAAAGAGTGATTGTCATTCCGTGCCAACCTCTAGTTTGGAGCTCTAGGAGGCCATGGCTGACGTCTCGGATTGCGACCTGAGTGCAGACGACTTGCATCTGTCCGATACAAGCTCGGAAGGGAGTGACGAAGATACAGGGGCGTGGAGATGCGTCGACGCTGACGAGTCGCGAGTGGAGGTGGATGACACAGACGCTTTCCTGTTGGCCAGCGCTAGATATGAGAACAGAGCAGCGGTTAATCGACTTCTCCTGCGGATGTTCGGTACCACACAGCATCACACAGACAACGTGGACATCTCTCGCTTTGTCTATACGTGGTTGTACTCGTCGGTACTCATCAAGCTGCAAACATGGATCAACTGCAGCATGACCGAAGACGCAGTGGTGCCTGTCGACGACCTTTATCGCTTTATGGAAGTTGAAGTTTGGTTGAACTTCTATCATGCCACTTCTGAAGCCTTTTACGATACGTTTAACCTGGAGCAGTATTCTGTTGCTGCTCGTGTGTTGCCGGCAGCGAGATATCGGTCGATTTTAGCAGCGTTGGGCGAGCATCAAACACGTGATGACAGAGCCGATCGGTGGACGGCCCAGTGAGCCAAGAGCGGGATATTGATCATGCAGCAGAGCTTGTACGCCGCTTGTACTCGGATATCGGATTTGTAGAAGGAGTGACGATCGCGTCGCTCGATGATGATATGATACGACTTCGCTCGACAGCAGTTGACGACATTGGCCTCGCACATAATCGAAATCCTAAGAAGGGGTATTTACTGCTCTGTTTCGTTTATTGCTGATGCTTGTCGAAGCTGACAATGAATAATTTCCACAGCTATGGACCTGTTCAGCACGGGACTGTGTCTTTGGTGACTGGAATATTTTTGGGTGGATATGTTGCAAACCGAGGAGAGTCAACCGTAGACATCGTTCGATTGCTGCAACGAGCATTGTGTGGAGCCCCAACAGAAAGTCAAATCCATTTACCTGGAGTTTTACATGCGTTGGATCGAGGCTATCAGAGTCTGGCAGTCAACAAGCAGATTATTAACGTCGGGGGAAGTATTGTTGGTACTCATAAACGCACCGGCAAGTTCCCGTTTACACACGGAAAAGCTGCTACGCAGCATCAAAAGCTCGTACAGATGAAAGGTGAACGCTGTGCGTTTTGGGCCACTCAGCGTCTGCCGACCGTACGAGGGACTTTGCCAAAGCATGCACACGCGCTTGCGTATCGCAATGGACTGGGAAAGGTAGCTTTGTGCTACACTGCTGCCACAAACGTAGGTTCAGGAACCTGGTCTTATATATCGCGCCCAAGCAAGCAAGTTACAAAGCAGTGTAACAACCAGCTCTTCGAAGATTTCGAAGATGGTGTCCAGCAGCTGACAGTGGCACAGCGCACAGCGGAATGGTTTATCTTGCGGAAGTTCCGCATTACGGGCTCTGTTGCAGGCAAAGTGTTTAAAGCAATTGCTTCTAGCCGTCACGAAGTTCGAGACAATGTTGCTCCACTTACGGACGATGCTGATGTGATGACCATATTTCTCATCCTAGGATTGATTTCAAACCCCGCAAATTCTGGTGACTACGGCGAAGATCAACACGGCCACCACGATATAGTTCGTACACCTTTCGATTGTAATGAGCTAGCTCGAAAGACGGGCCAAGAACTCAAGAAGTTGTGCCGTGACTTGTCCCTTCAAGTATCTGGGAAAAAGCAAGAACTGATAGATCGCTTGCTTGCTATTGGTAACGAGCCCGTTGTTGGCGATGCAGTGTAGCGACAGCAGTTTGACGAAAACATCTACACCGCGTTGTTATCTTCCTGGTTTATGGCACCGATATCGACAACTGGAATGAAAATTGGGACCCACAACGAGGATAATATTTCGTCGCGCATTGGCACATTCATGGATAAACATACATACTACCACATTGAAGGACTGAAGTCTTACGGGTTGCTCTGCAAGTAAGTTCTGTGCAATTGTCGATTATTTTCATTGCTAACTCCGAGTCGATAGAAAGCACACACCTATTGCAGCATTTTCACCTGATCACATTGCATCGGTCGTCTCGGTCAACCGTGGGCGGTTCTATGCGGTAATGGAATACAAGACACGGACTACAACACAGACAGTGACAAAAGAACAATCTATCGCAGCGGAGTATGGTGTCTTCTCGTCAGTTAATCTCATGACAGATGGTTTCAGTGGAGCATTTAACGCGATCGTTCCTGACAAAGATCATCGGTTACAAATTACGCACAGTATTGCGTGCGGCAACATACGGGATGGTTTCCTCGTATACGCCGCAGCGACACACATCATTCGCGTTGTTCATGTCCGAGTGGAACCTACCGTCACTTGGACATATCGATCCGCCCTCAGTGCAATTGAAGATAACTACCTCGCATGGGTTTACGACCCCGCAGTGGCCGTTCCCGAGCTGAATCTTACGCGTGTCAAGCACTGCCCCGATCGAGCAACGCTACTGCAGTCACTAGGCTTGTGGAGAGCACTGGTAAAACTAATCCACGATCGAGGTGATCCTCTACCACCTGCGAAACGAATCCTTCCGTCCCTCATTGCTCTTTGGAACCGAGTCAAAGGCGGGATTGACGTGTATTCAAGATACTTGAAAAACGTGAAACCGAAACACTTTCGGCTCTCTCCAAAGGCTACCAGACATTTCTTCTGTTTAAGGTATGGTGGTATCGAATTCGTTACTCATGGGGTATTATTATCTAACGCAACACTTTGTGCAGTCTCATTCATTTCTGATGAATAGAGACTTGTGCACATCATACAAAGCTTACTAGAAACACAGACAGAATCTGCCGAGCTTTCGAGCCTTCATTCGTGAGGCAGCAAAAGTCTTTTCGGAGCGGCCAATGCAGTCGTCAGAGCCGGTATCCGCGCGTGCCGAGCTCTCAACGACGTCGTTCAGCACCCAGACGTTCTCCTACAAGAAACGCATTCATTTTGAGTCAGATTCGGAGTGGAAGCATCTTCGGCTCTCAAAAACTGTTCAGCATCCTTTGGTACCTTATTTGATCACTTCATTAGCTTTGCACTAACGCACTAACGCACTATCCTTTAATCCAGGTCACTTTTGATGGAGGAAAGCAGCGCACCTGCATTTTGTGCTGCCAGATGAACCACGACAAGGAAAACGAGCAGCAGCACACCCGACAGGGTTACAAAACCAGGTTTCAGTGTGAAACTTGCAAGGTAGCACTCTGCCACTCTGCAAGATGGGGCCAAACCGAGTCTTGCTTCAGCAAGTTCCACGCGGATAAAACTTTCCCGGACCCATGTCGACACCCAGAAATGCAGTGTTCGACCAAGAAGAACGAAAACCGAGCCCCGACGCCATCTCGAAAGCGCTCTCAGTCGCTAGATCAACCTAATCAGCGTGAGCCTAGTGTGCTCCTTGCTTCGAAACAGCGTCGCTGCTCATTGCGCCTTCGCAATGAAGCCAAAAAGTGAGTCGATGTAGCTTTAATTTTTCTCCTAAATTTAAGGAGAAACAGCATTTTACCTACTACTCAGCGACAAGGTTTTTGTGGAGCATTTTGACAGTGTTCTTTGGGTCATATCAAGCGACTAGATGTGTGGCTAGGAAGCCCAAACGAGGGTTATTGGTATCCAATCCTGTTTTTCATGCTGTCCTCGCGGACACTTTCAAATGAAGCAGCTGAAAATTCCTCCTGTTTTTTCTCCTAAAAATAGATTTGTTGGGGTTATTCTCTCTGAACCACTTTTGGAAGGCAATGATTGTCTGTTGCCCTCATCACCAACATAAGTTCAGTCCTAATAGTCTGTTGCTTATTTTTAGTACCATCCGTTGGAATCGAGTCAGTCTCGAATAGCACTCTCCCATCATACGGGCATTGCACAGTCTAACGCAACATGCAGACGGAAGACACATCCTTCAGCGATGCTAGCCACGCTACTGAGGTTCTGGAATACGACGCTGTGGGCAGCGATGCAGATTTACAACGGTCAAGTTTATCTGATGTAGATATGCCCAGTGCTCGAGGCTCGGTAGAAGAAGATTTGGACATCGGTGATCACTCTGCGGTCGACTTCGTCAGCAACGCGACTGAAACTGTGATCGCAGTCGCCGATCCTATTGGAAACGATGTTGGAGACAAAGAAGAAGACCTAGACTCATCTCTCGACTACGGCAGAGACATTGATGAAGGAGCCTTCACGTCTGCAGATATCAGTAATTTGGCTTAGGTATCTGCCTACGTCAGTGTCGGCTACTTTGACACTGAGGAAGACGCCGAGAGAAACCTTCATCGCTTGAATGAATTCGTATACGCAAACAAAACTAGGTATATATCGACATTTCGTGTGGGTAAGGAGTATTTATGTTGATCACATCAAGACTGCCGTCACAGCATTAAGCTCATCGTACACCAAGCCGGCGTGTTAGGAATGCGGTTCCAGGTACTTTAGAAAGGTCAGCATACCGGTTCCGTTGTCAACTTACGGACTAGAGGTATATCTCCCGTCACTAAACCTGAAATCGACGCGCTACTAAAACTTGGGATGTCAGGTGGTCCTGTTCGCAACATTATGATGTTTAAGTACCTTCGCAATCCAAGCATGCTCGCCTTAATACCCGACACGAAACAAAATGAAAAATCGTAAAGCGCACCTTAAAAAAGTCTGGAGAGGGCTGGGAAATAAGGAAGTTTGTGTCATTAAGAAGCTGGACAAGTAGCAGACTTTGCCAGGACCGCGATGAATATTTTCGTGCAGATGACAATAATGTTGCTGAAATGAACGAGATGATAGTTTTAGATGAATTCGAACATTCACTCAACATTGTGGGAGTATCGGTGCATTCTATTGAAATGGCGGTGACATCGAGGGCGCTTTTCAAAATGTTTGGCGAGCGGTTCGTGATCAAGGTGATACTTTAGTTCTATCGACAGATGGAATCTATTGGATCCATTTCGGAGAATGGACACTAGTACGCTCCGGGCCAGGCTACGTTCAACGTTTTCGCCCTTGGATTGACATGTTTATGCGTACTGAGAGCACGCTTTCGTACAAGCGAATGTTTTGTGCTTTGGTGAAGTATGCAAAATTATTTTTCGAATTGGACGTCAACATTCGTAGCGCCAGCATTGATCACTCGGACGCAATTGCATCTGCGCTCGAGATGGTGAGGCCCCATGTAGCAATCCTCACGTGCTCTGATCACCTACTTCGCCAGTGTCTCAAACAAACCAGGCATGAAAAAAGAAAGGGGTTCATCAAAGACATCGCCAAACCTCACTATCACAAGTCCTGAACCAATTCAGAGCATTGTACAAGCGCGTTATAAAGGCTTGTGAATCGCACGGTGAGTAGGACGTGGCTTCATGGTTCCAAAATGCCTACTTGACCCCACGCTGGGAGCGCGTTAGAGTGTGAACAGCTCATCGATACCAGGTTTCTTGCCCATCCAACGGCCAATTGAAAGTCATCATCGCGTGATTAAAGTCATCATTACAGATTACAAGAAGGCGCCGACAGTAACCGCGTTGAACGCTGTATTGCCTAGAGTGTTACTTTATGACGCGACCAACCTTGCATTCGATCAGCACCGTCATTTTGCAGAAGGTACGCGAACATATTATAAGTGTTACCCCAAATTTTGGTTTTAAAAAATATGTTTTGTATGCACGGCCACTAAATGTAGCAGCCGTCATAAAAGCAAAGCACAAGTTGCTTCGCCCCTGTAATCACCGCGTCAACAAAGCCAAAACTAGTGGGCGTATCAGAATTTTCTTCAACAGTGAGAGCACCATGGTGATGCAGTTAATGACAAGCAACTCGGCAGCAGCTAAAGTGACTGCGGAGCGCACCAAATTGTAAGTCAATGTAATTGTTATCTAACAGTTAACTAACTGGCGGTGATGTACGTGATAGATTTAAGCAATCGTTGACAGGAAAACTAGGCGAAGACGAGTTCATCGAAACAGCGGAGGTGTAGTTTCTCTCTATGCAGCAGGTCGTCGTGGATGATACCCGGATTGAAGACATGAGTTCGTTGGCACTACGTGCTAAGTGGAACCGTGATGAGGTGAGGTATTGATTGCTTTAATTACTCACATTAACTGTTTACTTCTTTTTTAACAGATCCAGGCAGTTTATAATACTCTGTGCTGCACCTGCAAAATTTACATGCACACGTAGTTGCGTCATTGAACTAGCTAGTGAAGATAAAGATTGGCCTAGCCATGGCGCCGACCCCCCCCCCCCCCCCAGCGTGTATGATGTCAATCGCCTGATAGAGCTGTTTAAAGATAAGGAGCATCGGGTCGGTCAAGTAGCAGGATGTCGACTGCCGGAAACGGATGGAGTGTATATCTGGAGCGTTGCTTTCGTCCACGGAGACTCGTTAGAATACCAAGTTGAAGAACTAGCTCACGCAATTCGCCGGGCTTATTCGCTTGGAACCCAATAAGAAGATATGCATTCAGCTTTAGCGCCTCTCACGGGGAAGACAAGCTAGTAAATCCATCAACAGTACTTCATACATTGCATACTACCCCTGTTACTTTTTTCAGCACTGACATTGTGTTGCTCTTCTGTGCAAGAAACCTACAACAGCCATTCAGAGTGAGCAACTTTTTTTTCTACAAATCTAGTGCAAAGAGATGAACCAGTAATAGAGGAACAGAAAATAATTAGCACCCCCTCCGCAAAATCTTTTCCGATTGGACTATGATGATCAAGCATCTTACCGATGCAGCAACTGCAGCTGGTCAATTAGTTCCTGCACGTCCAACAGAACGAGAGGCAGCTAAAGCTAACCCCATCACAGCGCAAACGCCTATTAGCAGAGCTCTCCGCTACTACTGTCCTACGTTTAGTTAGAGAAAACCAAAGTGCAACTGAACGCCACAAACGATCCGATTAGCTACTAATAAAAACACGATCTTTTTCCACCGGATATCCGTCCTATGTTTTTTTTTCAGAAAAGTGATTGGCAAAGGTGTGTTGCTCCGAAGAAGTATCTCACTACTTGGGGTTGTATTTTTTTTTTCAGAAGTTGTTCTCGTCTCCGGTTACGCCTGGGTCTATGTGCACAGCAATCATAAAAACGAGATTGGCCGACTGCAACTTCGATGAACAGTGCAAATGCAGCTTTCGACAATCTCTACTTTTGAGATGGTAGATATTTAACACTTCATCCGTCCGTCATCGTCGCTTTTGCGTCCAAATATATTGGAAGTAGTGATCATGTCGGAGAGTGTTGAAAATAGCGTTATTCCTGTTGATGACCAATAACGATACGTCGGTTTTGGGAGGATATCATATCATACATTCTATAAGATTCTTGCGGCGATTGAGGATCACAACATTTTCAGCAACTTTAGCAACAACCCTCAGGCTCCCGTGTGGCTACAACTACAACTGGAAGTCGCGCTCGATCGACTAGGTAACAACGGAAACGGAGCATCTCTCGGACGCACAAGAAAGTTGTGGAGACTGGGAAAAGGAACTATCCCCCTTTACACAACCCGACTCCTTATCGCTCTCAGCCATCTTCGTGACGAGTTCGTGGTGTGGCCAAATGTAGCAGAAAGAAGGCAAATATCGCGCCGAATGGAAGCAGAAGGATTTTCTGGTTGTGTTGGGTTCATTGACAGCACGACAATCCCGTTATCACAAAAGCCCGCTGTGGATGGCGAGTGTTTCTTTGTCAGAAACCACAGGTACAGTGTGAACACACAAGTGGTATGTGATGATCGACGCCGAATTATCTCGTTTTGCAGTGGATGGCCTGGGTCGTGTGCAGATAGCACAGTCTACCAAGAGGTGCGGCTTTCAAACGACAGAGAGAAACACCTACTCGTCAGCCCTGGGGAATATCTACTGGCCGACTCTGCGTATCCTGCTGACTTTAAATAGAACACAATTGTACCAGCGTACAAAACGAGTAGTCTTGGAAGTGAAAAAAGAACTTCAATAAGCGTGTTGCTCATGTTCGTGTGGTAAATGAACATACGATCGGCGTTATAAAGGGACGATGGTCTTCACTTCGAGAGCTGTGAGTGCAGATAGGAAAGAGCGAGGATATGGACCGAGTACTACTGTGGCTTTCAGCCTGTGTAGTACTGCACAACATGGTGCTGTTGTTCGGTGATGACTGGCCTAGCGATGATGAAAGCTCCGACAGTGATTCAGATGGTGAGTAATCCGATACAGTAAACGCTCTCCATTCCGGTACTGCTCTAACCTAATATCCTGACCCAAATGATCGTATCGTTTTAAAGAGGGACATGATCAGCAGCGTTTTGGCGGGAACTATTCCACACCAGTCATTCCGTAACCTTGGGCATCAGCAGTGCAGCATTCGAACAGCGCCATTCCCTTAGTTGCCACTGACCAGGCGTACAAGGTTGACCAGCTTACGGCAATGCAGTGGAGCAAGGCTATTTGGCTTGACCTGCGGGAGAAGCAGACAGTCCAGAACTGTTTTCGCCATACAGGTATTCTGTATAACGCAGTAGATGATAGGAGCAAGGACAGTATAGGTTCCAGCTACGACGACCTAGAAGATGTAGAGAATCTTATAATCCGCGCTTCCCAGCTAAGCCTGTAGGCTCCTTAAAACAATTTCAAATCTTGAGATAGGGTCGGACCACGATACCGGAATGGAGAGCGTTTGCTGTAGTGGCGATGAAGACCCGTACACGTTTCGTCGGCAGATTAAGGCTAAAGCCATCGCTCGTGGACGTGCACCTGGTGGAATACTGAGAAGTAGAAGCTAACTTTCTTTTATCTACGTTATGGTAGGAGAGTAGAAGGCAATTAGCTAGTAAAAACCTATTCCGAGTTTGACGACATCTTCGGGTTGAATTAGCCGTAGAAACACTAACGAGCTTCTACATCATGAAACGATGAAAAACGGGATATTAACGACGTCACAGGTACCTAAATTCCGAGCAATTGTTCACTGATGGCTCGTTGTCGTGGCGGCTACAGCCCATTTTTGTAAAGCTCCATAAGAGCCTTTATTTCGTCCGGGGTCTTCTCGGCTGCCACCAGCGACATAAACATATCGTGGCGGCGCGAAGCCCGGCGGTCCTCCAGGTCTTGTGATCGTAGCTGTTATGCTGGGCTTTGTTAACCGCTTGCTGCTCCTTCCACATTTTTTCGTCCAACTCCAGCTTTGTCTTCATATAAATTATCTTGTATTCTCCATTTTTTGCGTAAGCAAAGGACAGCGATGCTCGGCTCTCGTGAGCTGTCATTCGCTTCGGTTTTTCCGCCTTGATAGAATTTGCGCTGTCCAAGCTCGACCGCTTCTTCTTCTGTTTGGGGTGAGTTTTGTGAGTGATGGTATCAGGAGCTCGGGGCTTTCTCTTCGAGGACATCACGTTGAGAAGAGGAGTCAGTGGTTGAAGCCGTCGTACATGGGCTTGGTGGACGGGTACGGGACTCCGTACTGGTAGAAACTACCGAGATCGGATCTCTTTGGCTGGAACGTCGGCGAGTTACTGCCGTGAGAGGTCGTGTGTCGTGGTTCCAAGCAGCTCTAGCATGGAAGACAGGGGGAGTAACTCATCCTCTTCTCCTGTGGTCCAGAGAGCACTTTCGGGTGGAGTCGGCTCAAACGAATTGTCGGGTTCAATTACTCCGGTATTCTTGCTCGATGCCTCATTGTTGTCATTAGTAGGTACGCGTCCGTCTGCAGCGTCATCTTGGTTATCATCTAAATCGTTACGTGCGGAGATTTCATCAGCGTCATCACTTTGGTCGTTGTTATCACTTCCACTTCCACCGAGATGCTCGTCACTGCTTTCAGCACTATGTCTCTCTTCAGAACGATTTCCTTTGTCCTCGTCGTACTTAGAGTCTGTTCTACAACGCTCAGTACCATCTTAGGGAAGACCAAGTTGTAACTTTGCTGGAGCGCGAACATTAGCCTTCTTTGCGAACAGCTATTTCATACGCGCAAAGTGAGGGCACAGCTTGTCTAACTTGGCTTGAATTGACAAGCCTTGCCTCAACTCCTTCTTCGTCATCCTGAGACCCATTTCCGTGCGGCTCTTCTTCAACGTGGGCTGGAATTTCTTCGTCTTGTACGTTCGCCAGCGCTGCTGCATGTTTTCTCCGGTGAGCGTCGGAAGATTGGTATTCGTCGTGTGTGCGTTCAAGTACGCCGCCAATTCATTGAACGCCTGCGTCTTCGTCTTCTGTGACCCTCCTGCGTCTTCTTGCTTGTACCGTGAGCTGCGGCAAAGTTTTCCAGTATCTCCATCCGGGTAACTAGCAAGCCGTAGTCTTCTCGAGATAGATGAACCTTGCCGGACTGGCTGGTCTCGTCGTTAAGCGCCATTCCTAAGCATGTACAGAGATGACTTTAGTACTCACATGCAGGAAAGACACAGGACAACATACTTGCTGCAAAAAATGTTTTGTGGACGACGTGGTGCGTGGCTGGGGGAGTACTTATGATGCCGGGTCCCTTCTAGTGCGGGCTGCTCCTGAGTGTTGATGGATACAGGAGCAAATTCAAGACTGACGGCAACGTTGCCCGGTCGGATCATTTTTCTATTTCTGGAAATGCCATGTGATCCCTCGGATTACCCACCTCCCGGTGCAGGTGATCTTTGAAATGACAGTCATCGTGTCAAGAAATAACAGATTTCCCGCCAAAATATGACATGGGCACACGCCAAAAAATGACAGACGAAAAAGCTAACTTTGACTCCCCTATTGCAATAATTGATTGTCTTGCTGTAATATGTACAGTACAATCTTTATTTCCACCCAGCACAACTAAACGACTGCTATAATTATATGGCCATGACAACAGATTGACTATCGAAACAATGGTACAAGTGTAACTTCGAAATTGGGCCGATCGCGATATTACTTCTCGCGTGACACTTGGGGGAAAAAACTTCGTTTGATCCTGATTTCCTACCACGTAAGACTCCAACAACCCAATTTACGAGTTTTTTCCTGAGCAATTACAACCAAGAGGCAACGTAGCGATGTATGAAGAGCTTAACTAAGTGAGCTACTCTTCATTTTCTGGAAAACTGAGGACGCTAAGGAGTGTTTCCGCTCGCCTAGACTGCTGGCGGTAGTGAAGCTGCTTGTAGCGGAACTGTAGCTTGACGACGACGATAAGTGATAGTCAGATGGCGATGATGAAGCTGAGCGTAGTGCAGGGTGGCCTGGTGGTGGTGGAGTGTTTAGGCTAGCACCTTTAATTGGTGACAGCGAAGATACCATTGTTGACGCACTAGATGCAGATGTCGCCGACTCGCAGCTCTTTCGGCGCTTCTGGACACATCCGATACAGACACGAACACTGGTAGATCCAACGTCAGGAAGAGCAACGTCCATCTTGGGGCAGCACTCCGAGCAGCAAACTTCGCCGCATAGACGGCAGTGGTGACGACGACGTGACAGCCCGAACTTTGCGTCACAGATACGGCATCCCAACCGTTCACGATTGTGCACCCAGTGCGGTGCATTCACGAGTAGAGATTGTGATAATCGCCGACTAGTAAGTACCTCTTCCAGTCGTGCAATTTTAGCGCATAATGCACGCAGTTTCGCCCGCCGAGAGGCCATCGGTAGCTGTGCTTTCTCCAGAATTGACGCTACAAACTGAATCTCCACGTATCCATCGCGACCACGTGCTTGGCGTACCATAAAGCCTGTAGGTTGAAGGTCTGTAGGTCTAGAGCCTATCTCGTCTAGCCATGGCTGACAGTGTGGGCTGTAACACGATTGCATCGTGCGCACGTACATTGGCGAAGGGTCCGCATTTTCGTCCCAATCGTTTACCAAAATGCACTCGTAATCCAAGAGACAATAGGTAGTTCGCGATGCAAACATCCGACTTGACTTTTCACCGATAACCCACTTGATGCTGAGATTTCCCTGATGGCCCGACGTTGCCATAGCTGTACGATAATCTTCCATGTAAGAAGGGGACAAGTACGGTCCCGAGTTCGTTGCTCTTGTAGGGGTTGCATTGCCTCCTGATCGATCAATCTCTAATGAATCACCGCGAGTGCCCCGAGCACGCCCCGTCGCGGATTCTCGGTTAAAACCTGTAAAAGGCTGTAAATCTTCTTCACTTTCCAAATCTGAGTCCGAGTACGATGATTCGCTGTCGCAGTCTTGTGTCGACGCCTGGGAGGCCATTCGCTGTGGCATAAAGTCACTAGTACCGTTGCTCGTGTTGTTATTGCTGCGACGCAGACGCTTCTTCTTCTTGCGGCGATAAATGAAGGCCGACGCGCTCGTGCGAACACCAACAAGATGTTGCATGGGCAGCTCCATATCTTCTCTGTCGGAACGCACGAGCAAATCGACAACCTCCTCAATCGACGAAGGTAACAGCGCCACACATTTTACAAGGTACTGCTGCAGCACTTTCGATGCAAACACGTTGCCTAGTCCAGCAGCCGACGATGCAGCATCCCAATCGGAGGTGTCACTATCCCATGCCCCGCTGCCGTTGACGCCGTTATTGTTGCTACCGTTTGATGCTGCAGGGTCTGCGCTCGAACTCGCCGGGTCATCGCCTCCTTCACCGCCGTTGACCAGCGAGTTCATAGTGTTCCAGAGGAACTTGTTCGTGCCTATGGGGCATACACGCTCCATGACGCGGACCTTAATCGCGCCACCCGTCCCCGGGTTCTCTGTAGTCGCTGCAGCCGCGGCAGCTGCGCTGGCGCTGACAGCGCTCCAGTTGACCGAGTCCTGCGAGCCGAAGCCGAAGAGGCTTAGCGACGCACGCGCTTGCGACTCAAGGTCCTCCTCCACGGCGCGCGAGAATGTAGCGCTTGTCAGCGGCGCTGGCTGCAGTGACAACGCGCTGGACATGCTCTGCGTGCTGCTAGTAGGCTTCAAGAGCCGCGTGGTGTTCCTGCTCGCCATGCTGCGGCGGCGGCCAGCGGTTCGACAAGATTTGGCCGGAAGACAAAAGGAGTGGGCTTGCGCAGAGATCCCACGGGATCCGATGGAAGTGTCTTGGCAAACCGAGGGGAGAGGCAGAAGGATGGCGACTGCTTGTGGCTCGCAAGTCGGCGTTGTGCTTCTGGCGTCGCCAAACGACGAGCACGACACCAGCCGACGATGCGTCAGAGAAGGGAGTGGTGTAATGGGTGGCCTCCTTTTAGCATACCCTGTCCTATCGGGTTTGTGAGTTTCCAGATGCCTATCAATGATGGATTCCATTTCCTCTGTTACATGTATAACCTGTAATATTGTATACAGTAGTGCAACATTCGATTTCTTCGAGTTCGATCGTCATTATTTTCATGAATACTATCTTCCAAAGACAATTTGGCTGGGTTGGCTATCCGTACGCAGAGCCAAGCTTTGTGCGCATCAAGCTCTTCACTTCGATGTTACGGCCACGCCGCGAGACAGACATCACAAAAGCAGCAGCGTGGATCAAGTCGACCGGCATATTGAATAGTTGTCAATGCCAACTACGGTGGCTACATGTAATGCACTCATGAGTCATGTGTACAGTACTAAAGTATCATGCAAGAGTGTGGCAGTGTGAAATGGTACTACTACTCATGGTATCAAACAGCTACTGCATTGGTAACACTAACACGCAAAGACTATTGGATTCAAAGTGCTTCCATGAACATGAGGTCTGAATCGCCTCCGTCGCCGGAATTTGTGTTGTTTCCTCCAGAGCTATTGCTGTTGTTCTGTCCAGCACCTGAGCTACTGTTGCTGTCCTGCCCCATGAAGCCGTCCATATCAAGCAGATCCATACTCGAGAAATTAGTGGGCGAGAGGTCGTTCGGGAAGTTCATGAATCCTCCCGACGAGGAACCGGAAGATCCCAGGTTGGACGGCATCTGCAACAAGCTGCTGCTATCCATTCCTCCGTATAGCGAGTCGTCCAGATGTAAGGACGAGGTATCCGCACGAGATGTTGGTGCCGATGGGGGAGCCTGCTGCTGCGGTTTTTGCTGCTGAGGCTGAGACTGAGGCTGCGTCTGAGGTTGAGACTGCTGCTGCTGAGCCTGGTGCTGCTGTGACTGTTGCTGACCTTGTGTCTGTTGCTGAGGCTGCTGGTTATGCTGTGGAAGCTGCTGGGCCTGGCGAGGTTGCTGAGGACCTGGCTGCTGGGACTGAGACTGGGAGGGCTGTTGCTGGCTATTCGGGGCCTGCTGGGAGCGCTGTGCTTGTTGAGATGGCTGGGTTAGATGCTGCTGCTTCTGCTGAGTTTGCTGCTGCTGGGCACCAGAAGGCTGTCCGTTTTGCGGTTGATTCGGTGCGTTGGGCTGGTTTGCGTGCTGAGCAGAAAGATGCGCTTGGTTCGGTGGAGCTGGGCCCTTCTGCTGCTGCTGCATCATCATTTGCTGGTGCTGCATCATTTGCTGCTGGCGAGCTTGAGCCTGCATTCGCTGTTGCTGCTGCTGCATCTGCTGAGCGCGCTGCTGCATGAGATACTGCTGCTGCTTTTGCTGGAGCGACATGTTCTGCTGTCCTTGTTGCATTAGCATTGCTCCATTGGGTCCATTTGAGGTATTCACCGGCGCTGGGACGCCAGAGCTAGCAGCAGGGTTCGTCGGTGCAGAGGAGTTCACTCCAGTAGGATTGGGGCCGCTGGCGTTGGGAGTAAAGCTGCGCTTATCCGTCTCCGTCCGCAGCTTCTTTAAATAAGGGTTCACAATTTTCACGATGTACTTGTAGACCTTGTCCAGCTCCTCAATCTTTCGCGGCGGGTTCGTCGTCTTGTCCTCGTTCAGAATGCTCGCACACAGCTGCACATAGCTGAGAAGATATCGCAGCTTCTTCTTCTGCTCCGTCTCGTCGTGGCCCTTCATGTGATCTACATACTTCTTAAATGCGCTGTGCACCTTCTCGACATCATCGTGATACTTTGCCTTTAGAGCTGCGTGCTGCCGCCAGTACTCTGCGGTCATGTCACCGGGAGCGCCTGAGCCGCTTCCCTCCGGTTTGGCTGCCGACCGTGGTGTGGTGTTAGCTCCGCTAGGTGCCGCAGGGTTTGCAGGCATACCCCCAGCGCCCATCGCCATCGGCTTGGCGGGCTGAGGCTGATGAGCACCAGGACCGCCAAACTGCTGATGGCCAGGATATCCTCCAACTTGACCGCCATTAGCACCGGGGGCGCCTGTACGTTGGTTTAGGTTCAACGTGTTATAGTACGAGAAGTCCAGTCTCGACAGCATACCCTGATTAGGTAGCGTCTGCGCTGCCATAACCGCGTTCATGTCTGTCTGTTGAGCACGCAAGGACTTCAGGCGAGTGAAGATCTTGTTAATGTATTCCTCCTGTGTGCGCGACTCCTTGTAGAGCGTCAGTTCGTACCATGACACATTCATCCAGAGCTTAATACCCGGCACGGGGTCAGCCGACACACGGACCATCTCGTTGTAGCTGCGATCGCACAAACAACAGCAGCAAACACGTTAGACAATTGCAACCATCATCAAGAAAGGAACATAACTGCCACACGTACATCTTGGCAATGAGGTTCGCACGATGTTCACGCGTGAGTTGGATACGCCAATCGGCGCCGGCTGCACTTGCCTGCCCACCCGCCGCCTGCATGCCCGGCCCCCCAGTGGCCGCAGCGGCAGGGTTCATGGCATTCGGATTCATTTTCATGGCCATGGAGCCCATGTTCATCTGGTTCATCTGGCCCATATTCATCATCATTTGCTGCTGTTGTTGTTGCTGCTGCTGAGGAACGCCGTAGGCGTTCATGCCCATGCCACCGTTCATGCCCATAGCCATAGCTTGCGGATTGGCGCCGTTCGCACCGGCCATCGCCATTGACATGGGCATCGACATGCCGCCCTGCATACCCATCGCGTTTACGGCGTGCGAGTCCATCGTCGGTGTCGGCGATCCTCGAAGACTGCAGGAGGAGTGCGAAAACGAATGCAGATCACTTTCCGCGCGCTGAAGCTCCGTTCAAATGGCCGTCGACGTCGGTTGTTTTTGCGGTAGCGACCACCGATTATCGGTTGTTGATTGGCTGAAATGGAGACGATTTTCAACAAATCGTGCAGCTCCCGAACATAACTGGACAGCCGTTCGTTTTTCTCTGAGCCCGACGGTGGCAAACAGGGTGCATTCCGTGGCAACGGTCAAGTGTCCACCAAAAACGAACCATTCTTGCGTGATCAATGCGTTTTAAACGTACATGTATTGCTATAACGTATGAATCTCCATGTCGACAAACACGAAACGCATCTATATATGGATACTTATCAATGATGCCATTTTAATCTACTCGTGCTACAAAAAACGCGACTGCTGTCTCTCGTACTACAGTACACAACGCGTGACTGGTGCCACCAAAAGCGCAATTCTAAAGGTGAGCGCGGATTGGACGATATTTGCTACATCCCGCCTTTTTTGCAGTGGGTACACTGTGCCAAGATTAGGATGGAGGTAGTCGGCGGCCAAACACCAAAAACCACTGTACTTACTAAACTTTATCGGTGACACCTCCTCCTGTATCACCGTGCGGTGCTGAACTCGTTTCTGTTCAGAAGCGGTCGTTTGGCCGTAGCGTACCGCACACTTCGCTGCTCACTTATTAGCACTAAGGCTCCCCTGCCTTATTACTGTAGCAAAAGGCCTTGCATAGAGTCGGTCTCTGCTATGGCGCCTCTCGTGCGCGCACTCCTGCTGTCTGCTCTAGTGGTGGTGTCCTGTGCGGCAACGAACCCGGCGAACTCGATCCTGTCGGCCGTTGTAAACGTCAAGAAGTCGGAAGCCGTGTTTTATGCATCGAGCGCCGCGGAGGAGGACTGGGGGGCGTCACTCGAGGCGCAAAAACTCAAGGACGGCGAGAAACACGCGTTCTATCCGCTCGTGTACAATGCAACAGGACTTGGCAACGGTTATGGCTGCATGTCCAAGCAGGAGCTGCTGAATACTACCAGCAGCGGCAACATGTCCGCCTCCAGCTTATCTGGTCCTGCTAGCGCGGCGTTGCTGGGACTGCCAGATGAGCCCTTCGTTTTGCTTGTGGACCGCGGTGGCTGCACCTTCGCGGAGAAGGCTTATTACGCGCAGGAACTTGGGGCAGCCGTTCTCATTGTCACAGATACGCTCGAGCAGCTCTACAACCGCTCCAGTAAAGTGGACGCTACTGAAGAGGAGAAGCAGATGGAATTCAGTTGCTCCCGCGGCTCTGGCAAGGCTGCCTGGAACGCCGATATCACTGATTTTACGTCTCCGTCATGGGAAGACGACGTGGGTGTGCGCTCATGCAGGGGTAACAGCAAATGCGCATCACACATGTGTGTGCCGTCGGGTGGACCGAACAAGCAGGTCTGCTGCGCCTGGGACATCCCTGACCTCATGGGCTTTGGCACTACGGATGTCGTAACCGACAAGAGCTTGGTAAATGATATTGTGGTTGTACGAATTTCTATCGCCGATGGTGACTCGCTGAAAGAGATGCTGGCGACTGGGAGCGAGAACGAGGACGGTCAGTTGCTGATTTCCGTGTACGAACGCGATCCTCCCGTGATGGACCCTGCGCAAGTGATTCTCTGGATCGTTGCGTGTGCGACTGTGCTGGTTGGGTCGTATAAGGGTGCTGCCTACGAGCGTACAAAGGCGCAACTAAAGGCAGCACTAATTGCTGCTGATGCCACTTCTTCAGACGCTATCGCCCAAGCTCGAGTGGCGTACGAAGAACATGACGAGCAGGCCCCAGAGCAGGAACAGCTTGACCTGAATTCCTGGCATGCCCTGGCATTCTTGGTGGTCGGTTCAGGCTTCCTCGTGCTGCTATTTTTCGTTAATGTGGTGATTGTGGTGGTGGTTCTTTTCGGCATCGGCGCCGTATCTGCTACTTTCCAGGTAATCTGGGAACCGCTCATGCGACGACTTCCAGTGAATTTCTTACATAAGTTACCGTGGCGCGACGTCATGTGGCAATGGGAAGACCTTCTGGTGCCCGCAGCGTGGAGTGTGGGGGATTTACTAGCGCTAGCATTATCGTTCGGGATCACGCTCTTTTGGTTTTTGGCGCGCTTCCAGTCGTACTCATGGATCTTTCAAGATCTATTTGGTGTCTGCTTCTGCCTCGTGTTCCTCCGGACTGCTCGCCTACCCAATCTCAAGGTGGCCACGGTGCTACTCGTGCTGGTATTTATGTACGATGTCTTCATGGTCTTCATTTCACCCTACATTTTCAAGGAGAGCGTCATGATTAAGGTGGCCACAGGTGGCGCGCAGAGCACTGCCACGGGTGGAGTCTTCAGCGGCTACTGTCTGCGGTACCCGACCGATACACAGCATGATTGTCGCTCTGAGTGGATGCCAATCTTACTTCGAGTCCCCAAGGTGCTGGATTGGCGATCAGGATATTCCCTTTTGGGTCTAGGTGACATCGTGCTACCTGGTTTGCTGTTAGTCTTCTGTGCACGCTACGACTATGCTACACGTGGTCAATTGTTTGGTCGTTTGTCACCTCCCCACGGCAAGATGTTTGGTCGACACCCAATAAGCGATGCCTTGAACGGTTCTTCTGCGGCGGGTAACCGGGATCTGGACATGTCAGGAGCAGAGCTCGGCGGTGCTAAGCAGCACTACCCATGCCGCCGAGGTCTTTTCTGTTTACTCATGTGGGGCTATACTATTGGACTTCTTTTGGCGAATATCGCCGTTGTGACAACGGGTAGTGGACAGCCAGCGCTGATGTACCTAGTCCCTTGTACGCTCGGTCTGCTGGCAATCGTGGGATGGCGACGTGGAATTCTAAACAAACTGTGGGAAGGCCCACCAGAGCTTATTCCCGGATACGCTCGTCGCGAGAGCAACTCAAGTGGTGGAGGGCTCGACATTAATGATGCTACTCGCCTGCGAGGGTTGAGTCTTGAGCCAAGCAAGGCTCCAACCAGCGAGCTGGCTCTTCTTCAGCAACAGCAAAGTGGCACTCCCGTGTCTGCTTCTTATGCGAGCGAAGACACCCCTATGAGCCTCACCACTACCTCTGGTCCAGCATTGAGGCAAGTATAGTGTCGTTGCTCCTTTCACCACCCCGCTGTACATAGATCATTAAAGCGATTTGAAATATATGTGCGTTGCTGTTTATGCTGTTTAACTTTGACACCGATGGTGTAGCGATCAAATACCTTTCACCCACTCGTCATCTTCGCCCCATTCATCCACAGCAGACAGGTCGTCATCCATCTCAGCAGCAAACAATGCCGATGCTTCAGCAGCAGTAGGCAATGACGATGAAGAAGATGGTGCCGCAGTTCCAGGCTGGGCAACTGGAGCCGCGCTCGTAGCTGCAGGCAGGGGTGGAACTACTGCACTCTTTTTAAAGGTGGGTACCATGCCAAATTGCTACAAAGATACAAAAGTCATAGGTCAGCTAGAATACCCAACAAACTCAATATTCCGAGCACAACGTACGCTGAACAGGTCATCGACACTCTCGTCTTCCTTCTCCGCCTCAGCGGTAACACCACGGTTGCTAGTTGGTGGAGCATGTGCCTCATCTGTTACGACCTCGAATGAGTCGCTAGAGCTGTTGGATTCGACACTCGAAGGAAGCAAGTCGCCTTTGCCTGCAACAGAAATTTCCTGAAGCTGCACGTTCTGCTGTGGTGGTGGAGGAGGCAAAGGCTGGGTGATCTTGAAAGGATTGGGGCTACTGTTGCCTTGCCGCGGTGTCGTCGGGCGTGGAGCACTGGGTACTGCAATAAAGGGGTTCAGCTGGGGGACCTGAGTCTGCGTGGAGTTACCTTCCCAATCGTCCCAATTATCGCGGTCATTGGCGAACGTATCCTCCTCATAATCATCGCAGTATTCATCATCGTCATCCTGGCTGTGGCTAAACGGCTGCTCGTCTGGCACTTGCGTGTATTGCACCTTGGGTCCCTTCAAACTGGTATTTCCGGGCGTACCTGAGCTCGTAGGTGCGCTAGAACGTCTCTTACGTCCCCAGAGTAGCAGGAAAATGCAGCAGAAGCCAGCCAGCGCGACCAAAACCAACGGGTTACTGCCCTGGCTAAGGTACCCGGGTGCCTGTGTCTCCGCGGCACCATTCGTTACAACGTCTGAAATTACTGCGGGGTCTTGTGTGCGCAACGATGGCTTTTTAGTGGTGTCCACGATCGCTACAGGTTCTATTGTCGATGGCATCGGCTCTGTGGGGGCCTCGGTCGTGGGTGCCTCGGTCGTGGGTGCCTCCGTGTTTAAAACCTCTAAAACAGATGCTGTTTCCGCGGGAGCAGGAGCGTCCTTGTCTTGGTTGACAGTCGCATTATCCAAGTTCAATGTCGCCTCTTCCTCCTTCTTGGGGTTCACCAGTTTCTCCATTTCGTTCGCCGCCACTTGTGTTGCGATAGGCGCGGCCGTGGGGGCATCAGTCACCAGAATCAACGCCTCCGCATTAACGTTCGTCTTCTGTGTGCCAGGAATATCTGCAGACGTCGGAGTAACAGCGTCGCCACTTACACCCAGAGCATCGAATGGTTCTTGCTCGCCCACGTCCCCGTTAATGTCTTCCTCGACGCTCCCCAGCGGGGTTTCTACCGCGCGCACCAGCATCCACGTCGTCTGGAACGACGTCGCGGCTATAGCTACCGTCCCCAGCGTTTGTCTGCCAGCTCTGATTGGGGTCATCGTCCCCTGCCGCATCTTGTTGCCGCTGTCGTCAATCAGTGAGTGCTTCTCTCAAACGCTCAACTACCGAAACTCATGCTTCATGAGGGTTGATAGGTTTTCTGCTTTTCACATCGCAATTCTGATTTTTAGAGATCCAAAGTGACGTTCATGTCTTCCGACGAGGAGATCGAAGCAGAGCTGCGGCGCGGGTTGCTCAACGACGACAACGATGATCGACCGAAGAACGCTTCATCGATGGGTGCAGTGGAGCGGCTGGTGCTGTCGCCTTGGGAAAAATGGGCCGCTCACGGCCGATTCCCGTACAAATTGATGCTGCACATAGCGCTGGTGCTGCTCACATTTGCGCAGATGCAGCTCTACGACGCGCAGAATGCCGCCTACATGCGTGCTTCACATCGCAACTGGTGCGTTGAGCGCTTAATTTATTTTGCTTGTAGGTAGCTAGCTGACTTGTATTGCTGTACGTTCAGGGCATTCTTCTTTCTTCCTCCTGCTGCGGACATCGGCGTCGTGTGCGTGCCCCCATTGAATAACTTGTACATGCACGGCAATTTCTCACCAATTTCGCTAATATTCACTGAGCAGACCACGCTTCCAGCGGGATTTTTACACTATCAATCGCACGATGACGGCGGTACACTTCTTGCGAGATGCCTATTTCTCGATCGGAAACGACTCAGTCGCCAATTACGAGTATTTGCGCACCTCGTCTGGCGAAGTCCAACCACTGAAGCTGATAGTCGATCGAGTTCTACCTCATGGCGATTTAGAAACGCGAGAATACCTCGTCTCGCAGGACGACGAGAGTGTCGGACCTTTTGACCCAGCAATGTCATTGTGGCAGAAAAAACATTTATTTCGATCATTACGCGCCCTCAAGTTTTCCTTTCCGTTGCGTGACCACCAGTTCGGAAATTTTTACGAAGAGTGCTTCGAGTGGCAAGTGAATGTGAAATTTGAAGTCATCGAGAGCGCTCAGATTCATGTTGAGCTGGAGGACTGCGAAGTTTCCCGCTGTGCAAGCACACATCCACGTCCATTCTGGACTACGGCCAGGCAGAGCTTTGTATGGATGCATGTGGTTGTTGCAGTAGTTTCGATTTTATACATTATGCTCAGCCTCAAGGCCCTGCGGCGGTCATTCCAAGTGTACGTATCCGATACATACTTCGGGTCTCCTCAATTCGTCTAACCGTATTTTTGTTAGCATGGCACGAGCCAGAGGTTTATTAAGAGACAATGCCAAGGACAGAGAGAATCTGGACAACGGGCTGCACAATGTCACTACAAACGCGAAGGATGGCGACAACTCGCACCGCTACATTAGGCAACACGTACCTTTGAGATCGTGGACTGAGATTCCATTTACGCTCAAGCTCAAACTCATGAATGAATTGTACGTCAACTGGCCTAGATTTTGCAGCTCCGTAGCTAACAATAATGTCGTCCTGCAGACAATTAATCGTGTTTACCTCGCTGTTACTTCTACTTGCGAGCACCATGTGGAGTTTACTCTTCTTGGAGGCTCACATGCCTATTCGATTTTGGCATCGGTTGTTGCATGCGACAGCGTTGCTACTGCTCTGGAGCTCTCTCGTGGGATACTTGGAGCACAACCAGCATATCTATTCGATTGTCTTAACGCTCAAATGGGGAACACCTCGCGTGTTGCAGTTTTTATTGGGTGTATTCCCAATTTTCTTTGGATATGCCCTTTTCGGGACGATATACTTCGGAAACAAAATCGAAGAGTTCGGTACGCTGAGTGCTTCGATGATTTCTCTTTTCTCGCTCATGAATGGAGACATTATCATGGACACTTTTGACGCAATGGAACTGCACCAATTTACCGTATCCGGGAAGGTGTTCTTGTACTCGTTTATCTCACTCTTCATGTATGTGGTCCTGAATATCTTCATCGCCATCGTCGAAGAAGCCTTCTTCGCGACGCAATCTACTCGACGCCGGCTAAGTGACTTGTTGTCGGACCCTCGCGTATCTGGCGTAAACGCTGCCAAGGAATCCGATATCTCTGCGGAAATGATGCGATCTTTGCTTCAGCTAATGGACTCCGAATGAACTCGGGCTAGCGTTAAGAGCAATATATTGTTAGTTATTTGGTGCAGGTATGAAGGGTTCAACTAGTGTATGCAGATCGCTCGAGTTTAGCACACGATATATTACTCTCCTAGCACCTCAGTGGCAAGCTTGGTGACGTCGTCGTCGACCTGCACGACATGTTTGTGCAGGGACTGGCACTGTTCCTGCAACGTGGTGATATGGCCACGTTGGACGTTCAGACACTTGTTGAGGCGCTCAATCTCCTCGCTAGCGGTGTTAAGCTTCTTCTGGTAGTCAATGCGAAGCTTGTGGAGCTCCTCACTGGTGCGCTCCGTGATTTCCTCGATCTTGGTCAAGAGCAATGTCTTGTCTGCCTGGTGAATCGACATGAGCTTCTGAATCGTGTCTTCATGGGACTGTACCTTGCACTCGAGTGAATACAGTTGATCCTTGACACTCAAACGGTTACCGTTGGAGACAGACGTGTTGGAATTGCTTGGGGACATTATGCGCGAGGATGAGCGACGGACTTCCCTCGAAGGAGACTGAGCTTGCATTTCATCTTCGATATCGGCAAACATCCTTTCACTCTCCATCGAAATCTTCATGCTCTTCATGCTGCTCGTTCCGGACAAACGCGACTCCATTGCTAGCAGGTAGAACTGTGAGCGACGTGGGCTGCGAAACGAGCACTGGAGAGAAGATTGGAGATTGAGGGCGAACAGCGGCTCTACCGCTCAACGAGCAAACCAACGAGCAAGTCAACCGCCCCATAATACCAACCAGTCTAGCGCACTGCTGACACCATCTTTAGCTTGAGCTAAGAAAAAATAAAGCTATTCAGCGAAATTCCATTTTGGTTTGCACGCGGATAAGGACAAGAAGTGCTAACGTGCATATTTAGCTCTTCAACAATGGAGTATCGAGAACTGGAGCTCAGGACGAGACGGAGCCTATATGTTAAAGATGGTTTCCTGGAGTTCGTGCCTAAATAGTTCTCAGTCCATTTGCCATTTTAAAACTCAATAGACTTCTTGCGTGGATATGGAGCGCTCTCATTAGTCTCCATCTCGGAGCCTTCAACGGTCAGTTCACTGGAGAACGAGTCCATTTCACTTGAGAGAGAGTAGCTGCTAAAAGACGGGTATGCTTCTGAGTCACTGCTGTTGCTTTGCCCGCGAGTGGGTCCCAGTAGCGAAGTATTTGGCGTCGCATTCGTATCGACGCCTTGGGAGTAGTCGGATGATCCCACAGAATGGGCAGAATCGCTGATGGGAGAAAACGCACGCTCCTGATGCTGAGCCACGACCTCCGTGTCCGTCAATGTGCTGCTCATGGGGTTACCAGCATAGGTACGGTAGCTTCCACCTGAAAAGCCTGATATTTGGGATGGATTCGTATCATGCGAACGGGTAGTACTTCGCGCTGCACTCTCACGGTTACTCGTTGCAGTTCTTGCCTGACTCTCGCGGAGTGCAACAGGCAACATGTCGACATCGTCCTTGGGCTGTGAACGACTCTGCTCCAGCGACTGCACCACCTCTCTGCGATTATCACCACGTTGTGGGCGATGCTTGAACCAGTTGAAGATGAAGATCACCAGACCCACCACGAGTGCAATCCCCAATCCGATAAGCACCCACTGCCACGCTTTTAATGTGCCACCACCACTGTTGTCGTCGCTGGCAAACGCACCTGCAATGTCTGCAGCACTCGCCGACGTAGATTCTGTTGCACCTAAATTTGATGACCCAGATGCTGACAACAACGAGAACGATAAACCTTGAGCGAGTTGTAATAACCACCAACACCATGCACTAACGCAGTTCTCACCTTGTGTGCATTGCGTTGCGTTCTCTGCAGCGTCGCACTCGAAGCTCACGCTGATATTGAGACACACGCCGTACACATTCTGGTCGTTCTCGAGTCGTCTGCAGCTGCACGCAGTTTGGCACCGGGTCGAGAGCGCTGAAGAGCCACTCGCAGCGCACGCCATAAGCTTGTTGCCATCTGATACGTATAACGCTCTGGCAGGCAACGAGCACACCTCCACCTCGGAGACGACACTTTGTGCAGCTAGAGCTAGCATTAACAGCCTCGAAGAGTACCGCATGACCACCGTCGCCTGTTTCCTTGAGACGCGAATTATTTTTGTTGTGCAAAGTTCGCAACAGCCAACTGGTACCTTTTCATTGAAGTTAATTTTTGACAAAATGTTGACACTATGGGGTGGGTTATAAATTAAACTTTTGTTTATGAAATCTAAACAGTTAGTTCCAAACCCTGCCCAGAAAACAAAAAAACTGCGAGAGCTTCTGCGTCACTACTCAGCGAGCATAGAAAAATACGAACACGCGTGCTCGTGCCGCAACCTAGGTTATTATAATCCGGACTACAAAAACTGACAAGAAGCGCTAAGTTTTCTCAGTTTAAAACACACCTACTGGTACCCATTTGGCAAAACTAGGCCAACACGAATTCGATTACCGTATCCTCCAGCATTCTTCACATTCGACCAGGATACCCTGCATTTCTCCCACAGTTATGCAGCTTTCGTTTTCTACAATGTACAAGTTAGTGCTTCAAGTTAGAACAGTGAGGTCGGGAAAGTCTTCGCACAAAAACAATAGCACCAATATTTGTCAAATTTGGTCCATTACAATTGAGTTTTTCAAAAACTATTAATAGAACTTTTTTTTTGCTAATTGGTGTCAATATTATAATAATCACTCTTACTGATTTTTCAAAAAAATGTACGTCACAGGCTGGACCAAATGATGAAACTGAGTTTCAGCCAATAGTCATAGAGTGATATAGATGGTCCCTAACATGGGGGCCCGGATTGTGTGGCTGGTGGGTATCTTCCCTGCCAGAACGCAATTCGAGCCGTGGCACGCAGACGCACCTTTCGCTTGCAATCGATCCGCAATGGCCGCTGAACTTTGGGCTAGCTACAAGCAATGGGCTGACGTCCAGGAGACGCTCTTCCTGGACTGGGCCGACCCTTCTGGCCAGTACAAGCTGTCGCCCATGAAGGACCTGCCCGGAGCTGACTTCGCCACGGCATTCGCCATTTGCGTTGCCTATGTCTCCTTCGTTGTCATCGGCACGGTGAGTTCGTCTGCGATCGAGCTCTGATTACATTTGGGTGGTACAGCTGGTCTAACTAGGATGCTGCTCGAATCGTTTATCCCCTTTAGCTTGTGATGAAGGCTGGTGTCCCGGCCATCAAGACCAGTCCGCTGCAGTTCATCTACAACCCGCTGCAGGTCGTGCTATGCTCGTACATGTGCATGGAAGCCGGCATCCTCGCCTACCGCAACGTACGTCCATCCACCTCTCAGTTGATGCTTCGACCGTGGCTAGTCATTTTGATCTCTTGCCCATGTGAACCTGCAACTCATTTTTGTCGTGTGGCTTCACGAATTCCAGGGCTACTCGGCCACTCCGTGCAACGCGTTCAACGCGGAGAAGCCCGTCATGGGCAACGTGCTGTACATGTTCTATCTGTCCAAGATCCTGGACTTCTTTGACACGATCTTCATCATCCTTGGCAAGAAGTGGAAGCAGCTCTCCTTCCTGCATGTGTACCACCACCTGACAATCTTCGCGGTGAGTACTCGGTTCACATCCCGTATCTGTGGTAAAGACTTCTAACATACTGTTTACTCGTTGTTACTGTGACCTACAGATTTACTTCATGAACTTCCGCGTGGCCTACGACGGCGACATCTACGCCACGGTCATTCTGAACGGCTTCATCCACACGATCATGTACATGTACTACTTCGTGAGCGCGCACACGCGTGACATCTGGTGGAAGAAGTACCTCACGGCCATGCAGTTGATCCAGTTCGTCACGATGAACGTGCAGGGATACTTTATGGTGTCGCGTTCCTGCGAGAACTTCCCCCACAAGGTGCCCGTCATCTACCTCATCTACATCCAGTCGCTCTTCTGGCTGTTCATGAACTTCTTCATCAAGTCGTACTGCTCGAAGCCGCGCAAGTCGTCTAACAAGAAGAAGACGCAATAGAGAGAGAAGTGAGATGCTGGGGACTGCTGCTAGCTGTATGCAAGCGTTTTGAGACCAATACAACGCCGCCGGAGTAGGAAACTGCTCCGCGGCCTTTATCAGCTGAAAAGTGTACCCGTTCGTGGTCAGGATGAATGTATCCTTGCTGAAGTTTCGTCTTGTTTGATCCGTTGTTCTTTTTGTCGCATCATTGGAAGGATGATTCGAAGGCCTTGCGAAGGCTGGTTCATCATTGCAGAGCGTGGCACGCGTCGGCTTGCCAGCTACTACTACATGTAGTATTTAGCTTCTTCTTTCATCCGGCGTGTGGTAATCTGAGTAGCGCCAAGCCTTGGAGCGTGACGTGACGTACACATTGCGAATCGATCTCCCAGAACGCGCGGTAGTCGACCGGCGGCGTTTATGTTTGGATGGCATCAACTTCAAAATCTGGCAGAGTATTTCTGCTTGATAGGCAGTCGTTGGAGGCACTGGTATTAATATACTTGATAAGACAGCGGATGCAAAGTGAAATCCATTTGAGGCACTTCAACTTGGCGGTTTTCGGATCTTGAAACGAGCGTGGATGATCTACTTGAAACGAGCGTGGATGATCTATGCTCGACGTTCACCAGCCAATCAGAGAGTGCCACCCACCCCATTGGGACACTTTTACAGCAAGCACCACACATCGAGTAGAGAATCGCACCACAAGTGTACTCATCATAGCGCTAGTTTCTCTTTACCAGAGATCCAACATTTGCACAAAAACTAATGCTGCGCCTGGGCTTGCTTTAGAGGTCTCTAGACTAAGCATGTCAATCACTTTGTAGTTGGCGCACACCTTGTTCGCTTGTTTCGATTACACCCCTTTCGTGTGCAGAAATCGCCAGTTATTTGTACCCATCGCGCCGGCTGTTCCATTTCAATTTTACATAGTGTGGCCCGACTTGGGTCACAGAGACCCCAACAAGTTGGCAACAACCGAAGCAGCGAGCACAAGGGATCCATCTCTGTCACAGCCTGTTCCTTCGCTAGCGGCGCGGCAGCAAAGAGGCCTGTACCCGGTGGATTCATTCCTCCAGTGCGACACGACGTTTGCTCTTCCAACCTGCTTCGCCGTTCGTTTGCAGCGGTGCCGTGGAAGCTGTTAATACCCGCACCTGGTGCGGCATTTTCTCCACGGTGTCGCTGCACTGCAAGCACGGCGGAACACACCCGCACACGAACCTGCACTCGTCCTCCACACAAAGCTTTGACGTTGCTAGAGGCAGCGGTACTGAGCAAGGTGCTCGCGACGACGTGTCAGAGTTGATGTTGAGGAGTGGGCCATTGACCCGGCGCTGTATCCAAACAGCCCCGTTTCTGCTCTTTAAGACCTCAACATCTGATACCCCTTTCGTAACGGATACGCAGTGGTGCTGCTTGTCAAAACAGAATACAAAGGACAAGTGAATGTGCAGGCGAAATCAGGGGCACCTGCCAGAACCGATAATCTGACACCTTCGACGTGCGCTTTGAATGGCCGCCAGCCGAGTGACCGGTATCATGCCAAACCTTTGCGGCCTTGGCCCCCTTGCGTGAGCGAGTCACTTCCGCTTTTGATCGCCCGCCACCTCGCAAGACTCAACCAGCAACTCCAGCTCCAATAGCGATGGCCAGCGCACTCCTCGAGAGCTACAAGCAGTGGGCCGATGGCATGGATGTCATGCTCATGGACTGGGTCGACCCCACCCTGCGCTACCGCCTCTCGCCCATGCAGGACTACTACCTTGCCGACTTTGGCACGGTTTTCGCGGTATGCATCGGCTACCTCACCTTTGTGGTGGTGGGAACGGTACGCTTGCGTCTTCATTCTTGCTGGTGCGCCTCGAATGCAGCGAAATGAGCGCTGGTGCTGATTGTTTTGCTTGCACATGTGCCTTCTGCAGCTCGTCATGAAATCTGGCATGCCCGCGCTCAACACGGCCCCACTCCAGTTCATCTACAACCCCATCCAAGTCGTTTTGTGCTCGTATATGACCGTCGAGGCCATTTTGCAGGCCCGCCGCAACGTACGTACCCTGCACCGAGATCTATAACCACCAGGAGTCCGTTATCTGACATGGTGCCGCTGCAGGACTACTCGGCTACCCCGTGCAATGCTTTTAACCACGAGAACCCCGTCATGGGCAACCTCATGTACATCTTCTACCTATCCAAGGTGCTCGACTTTTGTGACACGTTCTTTATCGTTATGGGCAAGAAGTGGAAGCAACTCTCGGTGCTGCACGTGTACCACCACGTCACCGTTTTCTTCGTAAGTATTTTCTACTCTACTTGAAATGATGTGCTTGTCTCGTGGCCATCGTGTTCACAAGGAACTAACTTGGATGCATTTTGTCTAGTGCTATTGGGCCAACTTCCGCACCTCGTACGATGGCGACCTCTACATGACTATCGTACTTAACGGCGGCGTGCACGCGATCATGTATATGTACTACTTCGTGAGCTCGCACACGCGCAAGATCTGGTGGAAGCCGTACCTGACGACGGTCCAGATGATCCAGTTCCTTCTGATGAACGCACAGGGCTACCTCATGGTCTCGCGCTCGTGCCCCGGCATGCCGTACAAGATCTCTGTCATGTACCTCATCTACGTACAGTCGCTGTTCTGGCTCTTTATGAACTTCTTCGTCGTGAACTACTGCTTGAGCTCGCGGAAGCCCAAGGCCGTCGAGGCTGAGAAGAAGACGCTGTAAATGAGTTGAGTCAATCCGTCAGTGGAAGGAGCAAGCAAGCGGCAGGGCGAGACGAGCGTTGTTTTTTTCCGTCTCCGAGTGCAACGAACCATCGCGGGAGCGGAGGCAGGTGAGCCTTCGAACCCGCCCAGGCTGGCCCAAGTGTATTTTCTTATCGCCAATGTAGGGTCTCACTTCCATCGTAATGGTAACACTAATACTACAACAGTTCTTGAACAATATACATGACGTCGGCAGCGCAGTGGTGGCTTCGCAAGCCCATTACAAGGCAAGAATTGATCCCTGTGCATTTTTGATTTCTTGTTGAGCTTGGTGACGTAGTGCAGCCATGTTACGAAAAAAAGGCAGCGAAACAGAGCGTAACATGGGACCAACAGCGCTGCTGAATGGATACAATTGTAGGAATGCAGGTATGGAATTGGAGGCCGTGAAATCACTGCGGCACCCATGCGGGTCGAGACGGAAGTGCCGCTTTCAAGCATTTTTTTTCCTTGCATGTACTTCTCTGTGTACGGCTGCGAATGGCCATTCGCAGCCGTACATGTTGACGACAGATCACACTGAAAAACATCCTGGCTGGCTTCCAGCCATACTCAACGAACTTGTTAGAACTTTCGATGAAAATGTCAACTTGCCGTAGGATGGCGTTCAGACGAAAAAAACCCATTAAAATTTTGAATGGGTTTTATCGTCTCAATGTTATCCAACTGATGGTTTATTTCGAAACCAACTCAAAAGAGACCAATTTTGGGTCGTAATAACATATGCTTGGTTGGCATTCAACTTAGTTCCAAAACCTCGTCGTGACGCATGCTGATTGGTCAGGATGGCATTCAGACGAAAAAAACCCATCAAAATTTGGATGGGGTTTTTTCGTCTGAATGCCATCCGAGCCAATCAGATTGCACGAAATCCGTCGACAAAAAAAAAAATAAACAAGTCACACAAATTGTTGTCCAAGGAAAAATATATTTTTATTTGTATATTTTTAGTTGACAACAAGTTAAAAAAATTATCCGACGGTTTTACAATAATTGGATTTTAGAAACATTTCTAAGCTCATCCCTTGCTCTGATTGGAAGAGCTGTTTGCTACATTCTGATTGGCTAGGTGTCAAAGTGGCAAATGCGTGGACAACTCACACCTCAACTCTCTTCCGACCCAAGACCATGCCGTTGCCGCTCCCCACGTCCGCACTGCAGCGCCTGGACGCGCTTGCTGAGACCTACGGCACCCCGCTGCAGCTCTACGATGAGCAGCTGATCCGCGACAACGCTCGTCGCTTGCTATCCGCTTTCCGCGCGCACTTCCCGGACTTTCAGCAGTTCTACGCTGTCAAGGCGCTGCCTAACCCGGCTATCCTCAAGCTGCTGCACCAGGAGGGCTGCGGCATGGACTGCAGCTCCTCGGCCGAGCTTCACATTGTGAAGGAGCTGGGTGTTCCGGGCGACCAGGTCATCTTCACGTCCAACTTCACTGCGCAGAAGGACCTTGCCACGGCCTTTGACCAGGGTGTCATCATGAACCTGGACGATGTGTCGCTCGTCGACAGCCTTGTGGCTGTGCGTGGCAAGTGCCCCGAACTCATGAGCTTCCGCCTCAACCCAGGCCTCGGTCGCACCGACTCGGAGACCAAATCCAACGTGCTGGGTGGTCCCGATGCCAAGTTCGGTGTGCCTCCCTTTCAGATCGTTGATGCCTACCGTAAGGCGCAGCAGGCTGGTGCCAAGCGTTTCGGCATCCACATGATGACCGGGTCGTGCGTCATGAACCAGGATTACTGGCGCGAGACTGTCACGGTGCTCTTCAACACCATCGTGCAGCTCAAGAAGGAGCTCGGCATCGAGTTCGAGTTCATGAACATCGGTGGAGGTCTCGGTATCCCGTACCGTGAGGACCAGGAGCCCGTGAACGTTGAGGCTATTGCTAAGATGCTGCGCGAGGTTTTCGACGAAGCTATGAAGGAGCACGGACTCACGACGTTGCCTCGATTGTGCATGGAGAACGGCCGCTTTATGACTGGCCCGTTCGGTTGGTTGGTCACGCGCTGCGAGGCCATCAAGGAGACGTACGGTCGCTACTACGGTGTTGATGCTTGTATGGCTCATCTGATGAGACCTGGAATGTATGGCGCTTTTCACCACATTTCCATCCCGGCTCGCGCGAACGAGGAGGTTTCTCCTTCACACGTTGTGGGTACTCTGTGCGAGAACAACGACTGGTTCGCCAAAGACCGTTCGCTGCCCAAGGCGCAGGTGGGCGACCTGTTTGTCATCCACGACACTGGTGCTCACTCGCACTCGATGGGATTCCAGTACAATGGCAAGCTCCGTGCACCTGAGGTTCTCCTGCGTGCCGACGGCAGTGACTCGCTCATGTACGTATCTTCGTTGTGGGGATGTTATTGCTATATTCGCTTACAATTTATTCGCTTGTGCATAATGTTACAGTCGCGAACGCGAGACTTACGAGGCTCTGTACGGCAACTGCGTGATCCCTGCGGACCTGTAAATACCTAGACAAGAACGTTGGCGATAGACGAGCACCAGGACGCATTTCGTTTCCAAGCTCCTCCTCAAGATAATCGATTATTTTGAACGCGCGTCAATAATTTCTTTTAGAGAAGAATCAATTGATGAGTATGAATTGGTTATGTTTGACGTGTCTAGCCGCCGATACCACGTGCCACGCCCTTCTCCTCGCTCTGCTGGCCGGCGAAGTTGTTGAAGATCTGCTCAAGTGTGGTCTGCGAGACAGCGTACTCGCGGATTCCTAGCTGCTGCTTGCTGCCTTCAACGCATCGGAACACGCTCGCCAGCCGCGGGACTTGACCCGTGAGCTTATAGCGACACAGATCATTCTGCCGTTCAAGAAGCTTCACACCAGTGTTGGCGTTAACAGCAAAGCTTTCGCGCAAGAATTCATCCAGCGACAGGAATCGCTCCTCAGCAGCCCACCACGCGCAAAGCATGCCCAGTCGCAACGTTCCATCGCGCTCCAGCGCCGCGGCCAATGCATACCCGGTGGCATGGTTCATCACAACCTTATCTGCCCAGGATGCATCACCAAGCGCCTCACATTTGGCCCGCAGCTCTTCTCGAGGGAATGTCGTCGTCGGAGCACTACCGCCGAATACGGACGCTACGCGGGCTGCAATGTCGTGTGTCGGTGTCCCTTTAAGCTTCAATTCGAGCATGAGGCCATCACCGAAGCGATGTTTCAAGTGCTGCACACTGCCAAGACAACGCAGTCGACCACCCACCATGATACCAACACGAGTACACAGCGCCTCGCACTCTTCCATGCTGTGCGTGGTGAGGATGATCGTCGATTCCTTCCGTTGTGTGGAAATGGCAGCGATGACGTTCCACATGAAGCGACGAGAGACCGGATCCATGCCTGTCGAGGGCTCGTCCAAGAAGATAATGGGAGGCGATCCGATCAGGGCGATAGCGACGGAGAGCTTGCGCTTGTTGCCGCCACTCAACGTGCCAGCCAGCTTGTTCTCGAAGTCGTCCAAGTTCATTTGGTGCATGAGGGACTTCACCACGTTGTTCAGATCCGCTCTCGCCACGCCCTTAATGCGAGCAAACAACTCAAGGTGCTCTCGCACTGTCATCAGCTCAAAGAGAGCGTCGAACTGCGGGCAGTAGCCGATCAGACGACGTACCTCCAGTTGCTCGCTCAGGATGTCGAAGCCACCAAGTGTCCCGCTGCCCGACGTCGGGAGAATATCACCAGTCATCATCTTCATTGTGGTGGTCTTTCCAGCGCCGTTAATACCCAGATAGCCGAAGCATTCGCCCTTGGGAAGACCAAACGACAAATTGCGCACGGCCACTTTATTGCCCTTGTACACTTTACGGATCCCTAGTAGCTTCACAGCGTCGCCGTCGGCCCCACCATTTCGTACACGTTCAGCCTCACGGGCCACATCTTCGTCCTCTTCATACGGTGCATCTTTTAGAACGGGGTCTTTGAAGATAGCGGCTTTGATCTTGGGGAAGCTGAGCAAGAAGTCGATACCGACGGCAATGGTGAAGAAGATGATCGAGTCCAGAGCCAAGTACAGCAGCTCCCACCCCATGACATCCATCTTGAAAGGACTAATCGGCTCCGAGGTCCGTCCGAACGCAGCCCCAATCTCACTGAGGCACTGGTTGAGCAGTGCACTCCCCAGATTGAAGAGCGGACTGAGGCGCCAAAAAAACTTGAGCACTTTGTTCGCGTCGCTGCTGCTGTCACTCACAACGTCCAAGATAAAGGAGACCACCATCAACACCACACCCAACAGGAAGTTGGTCATGATGGTGTACGTTTGAGCAGATGCGTGTTCCTTGAAGAAATACGAGAGGCAGTACGTGAATGGGCAAATGGCAAGTCCAAAGAGGATGAAGAGCAGCACAATAGCAGAGAATGTCTCGCCCGTGCAGCTCACGCAGTCATTGCCAGTAAAAGCTGCGATGTCAAAGATCTGGATGAGCACAATCGCTGCGATGAACGGGACAATGTACGTGAACAAGTCCCAGAGATAATTAGCCAGCCAAAACGCTGGTAGACTCACACCTGAAACAAGCTGTTGGTGCTTGGAGTTGTGTTCGGACTGTTTTTCTTTCACGAGGAACCCGACAATGGAAGCTGGGAAGAAAGCGAAGGCGATGACGATGAAGATGCACGCTGTAAATGCCAGGAACGACCCAAAGAGCGCTTGTGTAGCTGCTGTCATGGGCAGAGGGTACGTGTTTGCCTTGAGCGTCACGTCAGTATCTCCTCCTGCCATGAAGCGATATAGAGCTTGGTCCATCAAGGCCTTGAAGATGACAGCTCCATGCGCTGCGGTCGTGTTCACGAAGAGGTGATAACCAAACATTTGCTCAGTTCCAGAGGCATGGACAAGATAGCCACCGTATTGGCCCTTCACGGGAGTTTGCGTGACCTTGGTCATTTCATCGTCGGTCTTTCCAAAGGCGCGCTGATAAATCTTGTCGCTTATACGCAGACAATACTCGTTGCTATGAGGATTGCTTGAACTTGCGAGATCTGCTTCTGCGTAGCTCACATTGAACACCGAAGTCGGCCATTTTGTGTATGGAGGAGAAGAAATGTCGGTACTTGTGAAGGGGGAGGCTTCGCCACCGGTAAAGAGCGAAGCCAAAGTCTTGGAGCACCACTGAGAACCGTCAGCTTCGCAAAAGTATGGTACACTGGGCAATTTAGTCTCGAAGTCTTCGGTACTAAGCGCAAGTTTTACATCGGATCGCGTGAGTGCGCTGGTCTTCAAGATGATAAATCCGGCAGCAAGCAGTGTCACGGGTAACAAAGCGCTGAAGATAATAACGCGGCGATCACGCTTTGCGATCCGGAAACGCTTGAGCAACAGCGCCGACAAGTGTACGAGAAACATGGTGATGCCAGTTAAGTTTGCGATGGATGGACCACCTGGTGGCAAAGCACCATCAGCGGCGTTGGCACTGGCGCCGTTTTTGTTAAGCGTGTGCTGGTTGGCTTCGTCGCTGGCTTCGGCCACTTTGATGAACACCTCCTCGAGTGTCGTGACTGAAATGCCGTACGACAGCACGCCGATGTCACGCATTCTCTCGTCCAGTTCCTCAAAAAGCTGTGGAAAGGAAGCAGTACTATCCAGTGGAAGCTGGAACGCGATTTCAGCACCGACATTGCTGAGTACCTTGGCTGCAGGCACCCGAGCTGTGATCAGTGACTGCAGTAACGCTTCCTTGCAAGGTGCAGCGGGATCACTACTCTTGACCAACGTGAAGTTGTATCCGGCACCGTAGCGATTCTTCAGGAAGAGGGAAGACCCACAGCACCGAAGCTGTCCTTCTGCCATAATGGCAATTCGATCTCCCAGAATGTCAGCTTCGTCCATGAAGTGCGTTGTGAGCACCATCACACGGTTGGCACGGTTGTTAAGCAGGATCTCCCAGGTGCTGCGTCGACTGTAAGGGTCCATACCACTCGTGGGCTCGTCCAGAAACACCAGTGAGCTGTCGCCCAGCAAACAAATGGCAACCGACAACTTTCGCTTCATGCCGCCCGAGAGAGAACCAGCAAACACGTGGCGCTTTTCAGTAAGCCCCACTTCGGTGATCTTGGTATTCACCTCTTCTCGGAGTGCAGCACCGCGATAGCCCTTCACTCGTCCATAGAAAAGCAAGTGTTCCTCGACTGTGAGTTCACCGTAAAGCACGTCGTGCTGGAAACAGAGCCCCAAGGATTGACGAATTTCTCCCATGTCGTGCATGAGTGACAGTCCACGGAATGATGCATCTCCCGACGAAGGCGCGATCATACCCGTGAGCATCGAAATGAGCGTGGTTTTACCAGCACCATTGTGACCCAGCAAGCACGTGATCTGGTCCTTGTACATGGCAAGACTTACGCCACGAACAGCGTATTTGACTCCTCCCGGTACGGGGAACTCCTTCTTGATATCTCGGATCACAAGAGCCTCACCCGAGCGCTCTTGGTGGAGTAAATCCTCGCTGGCTTCCTCCATGTTGGGATTCTGGATGTCCAGTATGGCATGGCTACCGTTGACAACATTATTTGCTACGTCATTGACCTTGCTCTTGCTACTCCTCGAGCGTACAGCGTTCATCCAATAGCTGGGCTGAAACGGGAAGTACCATTTCTCGACAGTGCCGTACTCACGCGGAATCACCCGCTCGAGATACAGCCCAACAATCGTGTAAAGGAAAATGTCGAAGAAGAGCATCCCAATTGCAGACCCGAACTTGAAATTGTTGACAACTGTACTGGACGATGCGAAGCTCATACCAACACCCGTCGACTCTGCTGTAGCCAGTGTCTGAACTCCGAAAGCCAACGCCACAGGTGGAAGCAAACAAGCTCCAGTCTTGGAACCAATTGACGATGTCGATGAGAACCCACTCGACACAAAGTACATGAAGAAGAAGAGCACCATTCCAGCGAAAGAACCTGTACGCGAACGGGAGAAGAGCGTACTCATGAAAAAGCCAAAGGAGAGTACACTGAGCGAGAAGAGCAGGAAGAAGATGAAGATCAGCACTGGATCGCTATTCGGGAAGAGTCCAGCGCTGCTTGCGATCGCTTGTGCGATGGCACTCAGGACGAAGATGATCAAGTATGTGATGTACCAGGCCAGGATGATCGCACTCTCGGACATGCCGAGGATCTTGAGGTATTCCCGTGAGCGAGTCTCTTTCTCCTGGATAAGCACTACGAGCACACGCGAGATAGCATACAGGTACGCCAACACGAACACAAGTGGGAAGACTGAGCTAACTTGGTCGTAAAACGGGGCCGAGAGGAAGCTGTCAATCGGAAAAGGAGCCACAGTTGTTGCAAAATAAGGCTGTGGAGCCTGGCGCAAGGGAACAAGAAGCTGCTCTTTGGCAGCCGTTGATAGCAGAGTTTGCCACGTCGTACCTGTAGAGCCAAACGCAGCGGACAACCCAGCGTTCAACAGCACATCGCCGTCCACAGCATGAAAGAGTCGAGCATCGTTCTCTGTGCTATTCACTGCTATGGATAGTTTCTGCGTGCAAATACCGGTGGTGCTCTTCGTCTTCGTGTCCCATGCAGGCATGCAGTTAACGAAGCGAGCGACGAGCGTCTGCAACGTCATGAAACCCTGCGACGCGTAGGAGGTGTAGTAAGTCTGCTCAATGGTGCGCTGGAACGGAGCTTCAAACGCCGGATCTCCAAGAGTACGAGGGACAGCACCAGATGAACCTCCCCTCCCCAACGTTGAGTTCATGCGCACCGAGTACTCAATCGACTGGTACGTGCCGATATCCTCATCTTCTGGGTATTCATCGAACACCAACGCAGCATAAATGATCGGTGTCTCGAAGGACTTGCCGTAGCCAACTTTTCCGATGTAAGACTCTAAAGAATCTTCAGAGTCGAAGAAAACTACACTGTCTTCAAGACTCGGCAATGCCACGTCAGCGGCGGCATCGACAACCACGCGAGGGTACCACGTTTTGACAGCCTCGAAGAAATATTTGCGCGTGAAGTCGGTATCGGGAGCTATGGCTAATTTGTACGGCGTCACGTAGTTTCGGCACGATTCAAGTACAGAAAATGCTGAAGTAGTGTCCGTGCTGACGAACCCACCGTAGCCCACACTGAAGGCACAGGCCTGCTGGTCGTCAGTTGATACTCCAGTTGTGTTGTGCAGTTCAGCTGCAGTACGTAGCCCCAGATACGCCATGAGCCCGTTGAGTGTCGGTTCTTGAACGAGATATCCGTTCTGCATAAGCGAGAAGGACTTCTCCGAAGCAGTACTACTCCAACCGGCAGGAACTTGTACGTCGTCCGAAAGTGCCTTGAGAGCCGTGATGAGAAGGATAAAGATCACAGGCAGGAAAATCTCTAGCAGCATAGCCACCCAGTGACGCTTTTTCAACAACCAGCTCTTTGACAGCAAAGTCTGCTGTGTCGTCAGGAAGTTCCGGCTTCCGGGGCGAGGGCGACTCGCCCCTCCTGGTTTCACGTCCGCCATACTGATGACCAAGAAGTATTATAGTGTCCGAACTGTCGGTGCAGGAAGTCGGGGTCAAAAGCGCAAATGAGCGCTATCAAGAACGGCATGAATAGCTGTCGGAGTTTCCTGAATCGGTTTCTAGTCATGGATTATCAATTTCCCATGCGCGAACGCTTACTTCGGTCACTTTTGATGAGTAGTTGACTATTTTGAGCGAAATGCTGAAGCCTAGTAGGCCTCGAATAGGACACGCTACAAAGGAGGAGAATGAAACAGCGATCTCGTACTGCACAACATGGTGAGCTGGACCCTTTTAGCTCGTAAACATTCAGCACAGGAAGATTGCCACTCCACTTCTCGTACTTGGGTAACTGTTCATGCCGCAACCAGATTTCATCGTGATAAGGTGCTTTATGGTTACTCCTGCTGTGCCAGTCTACCAAGTCATCTACACTATGTTCTTTACGAGGGTGACAAGCCTCGAGCAAATCTAAATCTCGGGCTTCACCACCTTGGTGGTATATGCCTCGAGAATGTCACCAGGCTGGAACTCGTCCGTACCGGCGAGCTGAAGTCCGCATTCCTGTCCCTTGTTAACCTCTGACACCTTCTGCTGGAAGTGACGCATGGACGCCATATCCACGTTCTCGATGATAATCTCTCCATCACGTACTAGACGGTACTTGGCCTGCATGTTGAGCGATCCCGAAGTCACCTTGCAGCCAGCGATGTTGGTAGTACGGGTCCCTGACGTTGAAATCGGGATCGACTGGATCACTTCAGCTGAGCCAATCACCTCGTGCACCACCACCCCCTTGAGGTTGTCCTGCAGTAACTCCTTAATGTCATCCAGTAGACTGTATACGATGCGGTGCTGACGCAGAGCCACTTGCTTCTGCAGTGCTTCTTGGTCAATAGAAGCCGGGTGCTTAATATTGAACGTGTAGATCGTAGCGCCCGTAGCTTCAGCCATTACGAGATCAGACGATGTTACAGGCCCCACTGCAGACATGATACACTTGATCGCTGCCTCATCGCTCGGCAGGGTTGCAATTAGTTCATCGATGGCAGAAATGACACCCACAGAGTCCGTCTTCACGATGATAGGAACCACATTGGCGATGTAACCCTCGTCTCCAGGCTTCAGTGCTGCAATGCGCTTCGCCTCTTCGACAGCCTCTCGTCGTCGCAGTTCCACTTGTTCCCATTTACGACGAGCGCCAGCAAAGCGACGGCGACGGCGCGGGGAACCACTGTCATCATCCTGATTCTGTGCTTCTTCGTCTTCGGCCTTTGCCATTTGATCCCAATCAATCATGGCCTGACGTGCTGCCACAACCTCCTTGGCACGTTCCTCAGTCGGCACAGACAGCAACGCCACGCCACCTTCTGGCAGTCCCTTCAATCCGATCACTCGCACGGGGTGCCCAGGCGCCATTTGCTTGACACGCTTTCCAGCCTGGTCGACCAGAGCACGTACCTTTCCGTATTCCAATCCGCACACAACAAACGAACCCTGCTTGAGAGTACCCCACTTGACAATCGCGTCCACCTGAGTACCGACGCCACGTGCCACATTGGCTTCCAGCACGATAGCTTCACCCGCCGCCTTATTATCAGCACGAAGGTCCAGCATTTCAGCATGAAGAGCAATGGTCTCCTTCAACTGGTCGAGGCCCTCGCCGGTCTTACCAGACACACAGACCATGGGAGTGTCTCCGCCCATACTCTCCACTACAATCCCTTGATTCATCAGCTCGGAGCCCAGTCGGTTGGTCACTTCATTCTTGTCATGTTCGTGCATGTCCATCTTCGTGACTGCCACCACCAGCGGCACATTGTTCTTGACTGCCAGACGCGCCACTTCAACTGTCTGCGGGCGTACACCATCATCGGCTGCTACCACCAGGACGAGTAGATCAGTGAGCTCTGAGCCGCGAGACCGCATGTTGCTGAACGCTGCGTGCCCAGGCGTGTCAATGAAGGTCACCTTCGCTTGGGAGCCGAACTTCTTGCCCATGTCCACTGAAAAGGCACCGATGCGTTGTGTGATACCTCCTGCCTCAGTGGCGGCGACCTTGGACTTGCGGAGAGCGTCTAGCAATGTGGTCTTTCCGTGGTCAACGTGGCCCATCACAGACACGATGGGCGGTCGCACAGGGAACCCCGAGCAGTCCTCAGGCGGGGTCGTCAGCTCCAGATCGACAAAGTCCGGAGGAAGCAACACCGGGATCATGTTCTGCGAGTCCACCACGAGCTCAGCAATGTCATTTGTCAGCACGGACTCTTCGCCAAGTCCGTTCTCACCCAGATCCTTGAGCGCACGGAAAACCACACGCGTCTTGACGCTCATGCGCTCTGCCAGCTCCTTGACCGTCAGAGACGTTGGAATCTCCACCTCCTGCGCGGGCAGCTCCTGCTTGGGTTTGCGCTTGGCTTCCTTGCGTTGCAATCTCTGGGAACGACGACGTTCACGGTCTTCCAAGTCACTGCGGTCCTCCCAATCAATGTCTCCGAACAGATCCGCGCCCGAGTCGAAGATGCTGTTCTCGAACTGGAAGTTCTTGAGCAGGTTGCGCGTGCCTTTCTTGCGCTTCGTGTTCATCTTCATGGCCTTGCGACTGGACGGCGGAGCTTCAACGCGGTCGCTCTCTCCATCGGACGGGATACCCAGCGCCGCTAGTACCGTGGATGGGTCATTGTTGCCCGAGAAGAGTTTGGTCTTTTTTGGCTTCTGGCGCGGGTGTTTAGGCTGTCGCTTTGCGAACGTGTCGTCGTCTTCAAAACCGTCAAGCCCCAGCTGTGCCAGTGTGAGCTCAGGACTGTCATCCTCCTTCGGTGCAGCTCCAATACCATCCAGCAAGTTCAAGGAAGACGGCTCGTTGGTCTTCTTGGTCTCGGTGGCAGGCTGCTCGTTGGCTACGTCCTCGAAGGCGAAGCTCAGCAGGTTCTGGAACTTGTTAGTGAAAACGGGAGGCTCCTTTTCCACTGCCTTCTTCGAACGGCGTCTTTTTGGTCGCTGTTTGTTGCTGTTGTTGTTATTGCTGGTGTGCTGTTTGGGCTCGGTCTTGGCTGCAGGCTCCTGCGGCTGGCGTTTGCCCTTAAAATGACCACGCGAACGGGGCTTGGGCGCCGACGGAGTACTGAGGTGTCGTAGACCCAGTGTTAGTCCTGCAGAAGAACTTGCTCCGCGCTCCAGCAGCAGCGCAGAGCGCCGAAGCAGCGTCCATTGACCTGCCATCGCTGTCTTGCGTCGGTATCCGCTCACTGGCTGGTGTGCTGCACACCGCTCTTTCGCATAACAAAATGATTGAAACTAGTGAAGTTGTAGAAATAACAATATTGGTGTGATCATTTCAGCACGTTACAAACCTCTATCTATCCATACTATCAACTATGAGAGTCAGTTCCAGTGTTGCCTATCGCATAGCATACTCAAGTGTTCGGAGAGCCCCAGGAAGAGCTTGTCACGCGTGGCCGCATCTGCTGGCACTCGCAAGATGCTGAGTGTGCCTCTGATGCTGTTCCGGGGCGGAGACGCGTCCCTGGGCTCTGAGATCCGCGTACTGGCGGCGCGCTCCAAAGCTCCAGCCGGTGAGTGGGTCGGCCGGTTCCTCACGGGGTTGGGATCACACTTGACAACTTTGAGGGAGTTCAACACGCCGCCGTTAGAGGTTAAGAGACTAGAAAATGCAGAATGCAATCGACAAAATGCAACAGTGGAGCTCAGAGGGGGTGACAGCGACCGTCAGGAGCGGCCATCCAGTAGTCCGTGTCCCTCCTCTTCCAGTAGCAGCAGTGACGATAGCAGCAGTGCCAGTAGTGGAAGTTCCAGCTCGGATTCAAGTGACGGTTCCAATAGCCCCAGCGACAGTGAAGAGGAGGCTCCACCACCACCTACGAACGGTGGAGGTGGCAACGGAGGAGATGAACAGAAGAAGAAAGACAACGAGGATGACGATGGACATAGCAGTGACTCTAGCAGTGACAGTTCAGCAGATGAGAGTGATCAAGAGGAGGACGACGGGGTTATGATCGACACAGATGACGAAAAGGACAAGGCTCTCGATTTAATTGACCCAACCGATGAGGATTTGAGTGAGAGCGATGGAAGCTCGGACCTAGAGAACTCGTACCCACAGCTACCCTCTGCCCCAGTGGACACGCTGATTGCTTTCCGACAGCGAGCTGCACAGAAAGAATTGCAACTGAACGAGAAACTCAAGAAGGAGGTGATAGAAGAGGCCAAACAACGACTTCAAGAGCGACAGCAAGCTCTACGATCCAAGAAGAAGAAAAAATCGTCGCAGTCCAAACGACGACAGAGTGACGGTATGTCCAACGGGTCGAATCGCACGAACGGCATCACCGGCACTGCCGACACTGCGGAGGATGAGTGGATGGTGGACTGTTCGTGCGGACTCAAGGAGAAAAACTATGACGACGGAACGTCCATGATCCAGTGCGATAGCTGCTCTCACTGGGTGCATGCGAAATGTGCAGACAAGCAGCCAGAGGCTGTGGCTCAGGAGAAATTCCTGTGCTTTCGTTGTGGCTGGATGTTTGACTGCGTGTGTGAAATTCGCCGTCGACCCAACCACGATGATGGCCAACGTATGGTTGAGTGCGAAAGCTGTGAAACATGGCAACATACAATGTGCGTGGGCATCCCGATGACAGAGGAGCCAGCGGATGACTACAGGTGTCCCAGATGTGTGAAGAAAGCTCGCCGGCGCAATTCTGCATCGAAGAGCAGTGGACGTCGTGATAGACAACGAAAGCGAAGCCACACGGAGCAGTCGCGAAGCCAGCGGAAAAGCAGCGATCCGTCTCCGTCGGTTGCGGTGGACGTTCGCTCTGCTGCTCGCTCGATAGATACGGTAACAACGCCGACCCGTTCCCACAGGAGCAGGCGTCGTGAACCGAAGGAATCGCCCAAGATGGAGAGGAAAGCTCCTCTAGCTTCATCACCTTCGCCTCCTCCTGTTCCGGCAGTTTCTCCTCCGCCCACTCCTCCTCCGCCCCCTTCAACTCCCCCACCACCTTCGGTTGGATCTACACGTGATCGCAATCACAGCCGCGTGAAGCGAAGAAGCGAGAGGGAACGAGAACATTCATCTACGTCTGGTAGCCCTTCACATCGCAAGCGTGGCCGATCAATGGGTAATAGTCCTTCGTCTTCGAGCAAGGCAGAACCGAGCGATAAGGACCAACATGCTGCACCACCAACTACTGTGACGCCGTCCCCAAGAGGTAAAGGGCTCATGCTTCGTGGCTATTCTCCTGCTTCTGCCCGAGCGGATGCTCCCTCGTCACGATCAATGGACGTACGCCCTCCGCTTCCTCTCACCCCGCCGTCAGGAGGCAGTGGCCACAGCAACAGCAGCCAGAACAGTCATGGTCAAGTTGGCCGGAAGCGTAAGGCTAGCTCAGCGAGGGATCGGCTAGCGAAGAAGCTCAAAATTAGGAAGCCCTCGCTGCGGTAAACATATCCACGTTTTGAACGACCGACAGTGAGAACGGGAGTATTTGGATGTAGCGGAGGATGGGATGGTTATTACGCTACGAAACACGTAGTTATTCATTTGCGTTTTTGATTTCCAAGAAGTTATTTGTTATGTCCACGGGTAAAATGAAGGGAAGAGGACACTTCCGAGCACCGTAAAGAGCAGGAAGTAGCCCACAACAAGCCGGCCGTAGCGTGTCAAAACTGTGGACGACTTCCTCTTTACTGTGGAGTCACACATTAGCGAGGCTGGGTGCCAAAACAGTGGAGGACACGCGCACAACAATCTCGTAGTCACTTGAATATGTGCGACGAGCAGCGCGTTGATCACCATGAACAGCCAATGCACATAATACGGGGTGAGTGCAGTGCCTCGCCAACCGTGTCCTTGCGTCACGATGGATTTCCCTGGTACGACGTTACCCCGAAAGTATCCATGGAGTGCATGTAAGCTCAGCACAAGAATCGGTGCAGCAAGGATAAAGTTTGGTAGTTGCTTCAACTCGTAGTAACGGAAAAGCCCCACGTTCCAGTACTCGCTCTGAACAAACGTGTACATGGCCGTCAAGTTGGGCACTGCATCGAAACACCAGCTACGGTCCTCCACTTCACCTGTCCCGGACACTTCCCAACCGAAACGCCGTACTAGTGACGGACAGTATGGCAGCATTGAAGTGACGAAATACACGAGCTGCGGTCCAATTGCAAGGACACCGAGAGCAGCAGTGCGTATCCAGAAGCCGAGGAACCGGAAAACCTCTCTCGGCGGTGGCGAAACTGTCACGCGATGCCACGCAATAAACACTATCACAAAAATCACACGAGGCACTTTAGTGGCGCATAATCCCATGTCTCCACACAGTAGCTGAACGTACATGATAGCAAAATGCCATTAGATCGCGTCGCTGAGGCAGCACCGAAGAGCAGAGCGCAGAGCACAAGGTCCCGGAAGGATCGACGCGTCTTCACAGCCTGCGCATGCCTGGCCAGGAAGTACATGCCGCTAAAGCTCAGCAGACACATAAGACTCTCTGAGTAGACAGCCGACATGAAGATGCTGGACGGCGCTACGCAGAAGAGGTAGGCCGCTCGTCGAGCGACGACCTCGTCCCGCAGTACGACACAGCCCAGGCGATAGAGAAACAGTGCCGCCAGCACGAAACTCACATTGCTGATAAGCCAGCCGCTGATTATCACGGCCGCCGAAGTCTCCAGCGGCAATAGACGAGCGAACCATCGCGCCAGCAACGGGTATAAAGGGAAGAAAGCGTGAAAATGCTCGAAATCGTAGCCAGACAGTGCAATGTGCGAGAAGTAGACGCCGTCCCAGTTGCTCAGCGCCGCAAAGGAGGAATCGCCCGCCTGTAGGTGCGAAGAAGTGTCGTAGGGTGTCACGATGGCGGATGTTGCCAGCGCCAATAGCGTCACGCACGCCCGTGTTGCCGCCGCGAATACGATAACCCTGCGCTCCATTATCAGGGATGGAAAACAAGAGGTTTTGCTTTTTGGAATAAAGGGTTTTTGGGGCAACCCATCCACCCAAAGCCATAAAAATTGGAATTTGCAGAATATATTACAAGTTGTAAAAGATAGTGTTTGGAGGGGAGCTTATTCAATGAATATTGAATATCTAAACTAGCGCAGATGTTAGCCGAGCTGCCGGCGAAGGGAGCTGCGAGCTGCTCAGTAAACAATAATTAGCTGGGTTTGTGACTAACCTAAAAACAAAGCACAGTCTTACCGCGAACTCGCGTCGATCGGCGTGTGGGGCGCTCTGCTCTCAGCTGGCGACGCCTGCCGCGAGTGGACTGATAGTCCCACACGGAGTCCTTGTGGCTCGCCTCGAACCCAGCCATAAGATCTAACGGTAAGTTATGTGTGGGCTCCCACGTCAAGTCCTCGTGGCCCTCCCACTGCATAAGGTAGAAGACGACGCTGTTAATTTGGCGTTTGGCCCAAAGCTGCCGCACAGCGAAAGAATCGTCTGCAGCCTCTGTCGATTGTCTGAGCCCCCCTCGTACGACGAAATTTGTGTCGTCGTCGCTCTCGTCATCGCTATGACGACCGGCTCCTTCCGGTTCAAGATTTGGGCCACCAACTCGAAAGAAGCGACCGTCCAGGCGCTCGAACTGGGCAGCATGGCGCTGTCGAGCAGAGAGAGGTGTCATGGGCGCGCCTAAGAGGTAATTACAAAGTGGAAAGTTTAAATGAGTCTGTGAGCAGCATCGCATTGCTAATTTAGATCGAAAAAATTGTGGTGAAGTGACAGTTGGCTTCTGGGAACAAGGGACTGATTGATGGGAAGTGACCCGATCCAGCTCTGAGACTCGTGGTCGACGACGGTGCATCAGCGATTACA